TATTTGCAGTGTAATATAACTTAGCAACAAAGTAAACGTATAAGTACCTAAACATAATATGTCAATTGTAAATGTTATTTACTTATATATTACAAAAAAAAACTTAAACAAATCTGGAGGTAATTTTACTGAAACAATCCTGCCCCCTCCCTGCCCCTTCCATCACACAAACATACTCACCCTCTATCACACAAACATACTCACCCACCCACACACATACTCACACACCCACCCACCCACCCCCCCCCCCCCCACACACACACACACAGTACTCACTCAGTGGATGTCTGCCAACATTCTCAACTCAAGAAAAATATACTAAATAAGTTATCCAGGCCGCAAAATAGAGTTACGCTTTTAACAGGCTCACGGTGGAGAAGACACACACACACCCGCACACGCACACACACACACACACACACACACACTCATATTCAGAGCACATTTGGCCAATGCTTGATCACGAGAACTCTCGATGTCATAATTTCAATTGTTTATCTAATAGGCAAATGACATTTACTTTAGATCACCTTTTGGTCTGTCAATATATACACATTCCATTCTTGACAAACTTAGCAATGTGTAATTCTTTTTCAACCATTAGGGATTTTAATGGCAATCTAAATACGAGTAAGAGGCAAAAGTGCTATACTAATGATATATATGTATGGTGATGTTATGATTTTGTTATTGGTGTAGTACATGATTGGTTTTATATTTGTTTGGCTGTGAAGCGCCAAATGTCAGATTGACGAAAGTTACTCTTTGGATTTTAATAAGTTCTTTAATCGCACGAAATTCAGAGACTTTTCTTGAAACAATTACAGTCGAATAAAGTTAATAGATAGGAAACGTCTTTACTTTTGAGAAAGTGGTATGATTTATACCAAACCTTAGCCTCTCATCTTACACCCATCCATTTGACAGTGTGTGGCCAGAATGACTTTGAATAAAGCTAGTTGAAGATTGAACGATCAATCAAAGATATAACCAAAATGACAAATATGAATAAATGAATGAAGCTCTAACAGAGATGACAAACTTGAATGCTGTTTCTAAAATTGGACTCACTTTGATGACAATGATAAGTTCCTTGTGATAGATCCCATAATATATTTTAGATGGTAACCCGCCCAGCCAATGCATTATTCTTTGTATGGAACACTTTTGCATGAGGGTAATTTATTCATATTTTTCCCGGATATTCCTTCCTTTTGTATTTTGTCATATCTCTAAGAGTGTAGAAAGGATTATGGGGATTGTCAAGTCGTTTCCTAACACCTGTTGACTATAAACATCCCACCAAGGGACAGCTGTATCATAAGTGTGATATGACTGCGTGGGTGTTCTGTTGATACATAGAAAGATACATTCTAGATCAACATATGAACTTGAATCTAGGTAATAGAAGTGATTGGTGTAGTGTAAGTTCCCAGTGGCACGCCTACAATACATACGCACAGGTCAATGTCAAATTTACACTACACACGCGTACATATTTTGTCCCACAAACTCCCAATCGTGTGTTTACTCTCTTGATGAATAAGTGGAAAGCGAGATAATGGACCCCTATGGCTCTGAAAACGACTTAGAAATTCTCATTTTCATCTGAGCAAACATTTTAACGTCAAAAAACAAATTTTGGTGGGAGCAGAAAACCATCATACTCGGGAATTAATGAGTGGACAAACTGAAACCTGAGAAGTGCCAGGGTTTGTTTTCCACCCATTGGGTCGAGATTGTCGTGTTGATTCTCACGAAGCGATCTTGGTATCTTTGATTTCTAGATGATCTTGAGAAATAGTATTTGTGAGGAACGTTTTTCTTCCTTGCCCATCCAATGGCGTACCCGGAGGAGACGTATGCACCCTCCGTTCCATGTTAAGGCCTAGGCACAATTTAACAAACTTGCGGTGGCTCATTTTACGAAATAAACAGCATTACCGTTGTCAGTTTAATCAGCAGTCATATTGGTACAGTAACAATGATTAATACCATAGGCAAATTACAAAATTCCCCCACCCCTATAAAGCACTCAAAACATTGTTAAAGATCAAAATTATATTTGTCTTGCCTTGTGCTCAATATTGAAAAGGCACTGTTACAACTAGATGGCCATCGCGCGCTTTCTCTCTTTATCCACATCCCTTGTTAGTAATAAAAGCGATTTGTATGAATTGCGGTCACAACTTCATTCAACGTTTTCCTTTTTAAATGAAGCCATTAAGTATAAGCAGGGAGATGGTATAAGACCTTCGTGTGCCTGGTTTTGTCACCGTCAAAGTCTCCTTAGGGTATACTTTTACAGTTGTACTTCTCTTGAATACAGGGAGCTCTATTCGGAATGAATGTTTTGTTTGCTAAAAAGGTTTGTCTTTTGTCTCTTTGATGGGTCTTGGCATTGCTCGTCTGCTTAGTTTTGTTCTTTTCATCTCGGAGGAGGAGTAAATCCTCGTATTTGACTGTTTTCAGTAATAGAACGCTTTCTTGTCTTCTTTTGTTTCGCTTTCTGTCTCCCCCTCACACTCTCTCCCTCGCGTATCACAACCATCTCCCTCTTTTGGTTTTAATACGTCTTTTAAATATTCTCTTCTATATCGCTTTTGTCTTCTTTATTTGTCTTTCCCACTCAGTCTGATTTACGCTGTCCCTCATCTACCGTTACTAAAATTAGACACAAAAGATATATAAATAGAGAGGAAAAGGGGATAGAGAGGACAAGAGGGGTAAGGGTCGGGGAGAAGGAGAAGAAACGAGAGAGATGAAGAGACAGACAGAGAGAGAAAGAGACAGACAGAGAGAGAGAGAGAGAGAGAGCGTCAGAGAGAGAGAGAACGAGAGGGTGGAGATATATATATATACAATTTCATATATATATTTATATCTATAATTAGAGGGAGAGAGAGAGAGAGAGAGAGAAGAAGGGTAAGAGTTTAATTGAGTAGGGAAAGCAGAGGGAAGAATTATATTATTAATCATGCAGCCTTTTCACACACAGCTAAAATTCTATAAACATGATTAGTTTAAAGGGCTTTAAACTAATCACCTGTACATACGACATGATATTATGGAATGCACACGCAAGCCCTTCCAGTTTTCATACTGCCACACGTAAGCAATGACAGTTTTCCCTGTATCCCTTACTTCAATTATCAGACCAGGAGAAGATAAGCAAGATAAGACATTGAGGAATCATGTTGGTCAGGGATGTTTGATGGCTTTGTCGCGAGCATGTTTCAGGCTGATGGAGATTTCATGTGACTTGCAATTAGAGGGATGATTTCCAGGGCGGTTTAGCAATCACTATGCCTGAATGCCAGGCAATTTGATACAATCAGATACCACACTATACGCCCGAGGCGAGTGCTCATTACTCATTAGCAATACATTCCTGATGAAAGAAATAGAAAAGAAAGATGCGTGAATAATACCATCATACATTCTAAGGTATTGAAAAGATTTGTTAACATATTCTTTAAAATAGCGAAATCAATATTTAAACCCTCAAGTGCTGAAATCTGATTTATAATCCAAAACAGAAACGATGATACCTATTTTGATATTCGATTTATCAGTTCTATTACACTTACTTTGGTAACGAAGCTGAAATGCTATAACTTTTATGATTCTCTCAACGAGACATTATTTTACAAAAAAGCAGGCTATAAACTTCTTTTTTTCTTTCTACTAATAATCCAAATGAGAAGTTGAAGCTGCACGCAAGGCACGTCACCAAAGGCAAAAAAAGAAAAAGAGATCAAATCCCCCGGAAAATAGTTCATAGCCAGAATTGCTTTCTGTGTGAAGAAAAAAAGAAAGAAGAAGAAACTGCCAAAGTCTGTTCAATCTTTCAACACTAAGTAATTACGAATCATCATCAACAAGCCAAAAATAAGAACAGTCGCTAAACATATAGCTGCAGGAATGATTTCCATATACTAGCCAATTTTCATCCCAGATATGTAAATATCCAAATAAGTCGACCCCGTATTTCGCTTCTCACTTCAAGCACCAGCAAACGTCAGCTACAAGTTATTATGTACCTCACGGTTACCAGTGACCCTTGAATAGATAGCGGGAAACAAGTTTCGTTGACGAAGAGATGACAACTCAAAAACATTTTGAGAATTATACAGCCTGTTGAAATAAGTATGACACCAGTTTGAGAGGGTGAACTTTGACAGATATCAAGAAGTGAAAAGGATTGCATTCCAACTGTCGTGATTTATATCATGATCTTGTCTTTGGGTAAACATTCTATCCACTTGCATCTTCGAGGGCAGGCATTACAATAGTGATAACGATGACGTGTGGCAATTTCCCTGTATCTTTTCTATATACTTTCGCAATATTCTCACACTTCTGCTCATAAAATATAGGGATGGGTATGATCCTTAGATGCATATTTGACTTAGATGCCCTCATATTGTAAATATAAAAATAATACACGCTAGATATATATAATTTTGCCGCTTTGTGGCAGATTATCTTTTTTTTAATAATTAGCATGTCACCTGGGTTATTCAAATACATTTCCATCCACGAAGAATAGGCACTATTATGAATAAAGTTTCCCGCCAATAAACATGATTCAGAAACGAGCTTGGGAAAGAGGGTATACACGCACAAAGTAGAGATTGAGTTCTGTATCATATAACAAGCTTTTTATTATGACAGTGACGTAGAGTAGGTGCAGACATGGGGGGGGGGGGGCACCGGTATCATGGAGAGGGGATGGGGGTGGAGTTGGGAATGAATCCATTTATTATACTTAGTAAATGAGATGCAATTTAGTAAGGCTATTTGTTAGGGGACATTGGAGGGAGAATTTCCCTTGCCGGTTCCTAACCGATTTTCCTTTTTCTTCATTATTTACCTTATTTTTCCCCCGCCATTCGAACGGGGCACTTGACCCCGTGCCCCCCCCCCCCCCCCGAAGCTACGTCACTGCATATGAAGATAAAGGTCTGATAACTATTCTATATGGTCTATCCTCACAGGTCCAAAAGGAAACCCTGGTCCTGTAGGATTGACTGGTCAAATCGGTCAGAGGGGTCTTCCTGGACCAAGAGGTAAGGTTTTGTTAAAACTATTAAAAAAAACATGTAAGAAAAAAACAACAACCAATTGTTGTAAAAAGCATATTTTTTAGTTTTTTTTTAATATTTTGTATTATTTTAGCCAGAAAAAAAAATTCCTAGGCAATATTAGGCACTGCAGCTTTGTTGTATTGTACACGTTTCCGATCTCTAGATTCATAGTCATTTTTGTTGATCAAATAATTGTCTTGATTATTTGTATACAGTTAATAATAGTCAGTGGTCAATACTTTGAAGTATGCTAGAGCGCCAAAATGGCAGCACAGCTAAAGCCGGGGTAATAATCTCCAAGTTTGGAAGCGTTTAGTGATAGTAATAAGCGTTATATAAAAGCTGAGTATTATTATTATTATTATTAAGAGCTTTCGTAATTTCAATTCATACATCTTCTTCTAACTTAAATCAACAACTCAAATACAAATTATTCAATGAATAATCTCTTGCATATCTTTTCCGATTCAGCTAACTAATAACGATACTCTCACTTTTTTCTTGGATGACTTTTTCTAATCCATGCAGGAGAGCCGGGTGTTAGAGGGAAGCGAGGAGATCGAGGTAAACCGAAAGCTCCCTACGATTCTCCCTCTGACAATTAACTGTCATTTGAATGGACTTACTATATGTAAATCATTGGAAAGTAGTTTGTTTTATAATCGGATTACTTGTCGTCTGAAAAAAAGAAAGATTACATATTGATAAGATATTTTCAATTATTCAGCAGTATCAATCCGATTTTATAGCCAGTTGGCGTATTTCATTGTGTTCAATTTCCATGTTGATTCCTGCACGCTTGACACGCTTTGAAATTTGTTGCTCTCTTTAATAAACTCTTTCATGTTAATTTTACGCATCGTTATTTGACCCTATTTTCGTTTAATTTTGAACTAATTTCTTCTTGTACTTATTATTTTATACTCTCCCTTTCCCTGATTATATCTTGCTTTTTCTCTTCCCCTTCTTTCCCCCTTCTCTCTCTCTCTCTCTCTCTCTCCTACTCTCCCTCCCACTTTCTCTCCTATATCTGTCTCTCCTTCCCTATTTCTCTCTCTCATCTCTCTTTCTCCCCCTCCCCTTCTCTCTTTCCCTCTCTTTCTCTCTCCAGGACCCAAGGGCCAAGCGGGAGAAAATGGAGATCGAGGGGCTCGTGGTGAAAAAGGTGAGGGTCACTATGGATCTTTCGTCAAAGAACGGGAAAAGAACCAATGTTACAGTGTTTTTGTTATTATACGCCTGCAGGGTTTGTTTAAAGATTTATTCATGTTTCAATTCTTACTCCAAAGAAACCGAAGTTTGTTTGGGAGCGTGCACATTCGGTGACGGGTCAGAAAGTGTAAGATTTAGTAACATTGTAAGCTACTTAAGTTGAAATTTAAGAATGTGTTGTCGGGTTTTATTTTAGATAATGTAACTTCGTGCAATGTATCACAAATTAGCCTAGCCTTTTGTAATGTTCTCCCAAGCTACAGTTATGTGGGTTTTGTAACGCTTTTTCACAAATGACGAGAAGTAGAATGTTATTGCGGCATGTGGCATTTCAGGAACATTATATAGTATCAGTTCCGTATGGTATGTGTTGATATGAATTGTTCTTTTAATATGCTACAATGGGGATATATGCAAGAAAATTGTGATATTGTATGCTGCTCAGAAATCAGCATGAGGTATGGACGACCCAATGTTTAAGAGTACCTTACAAAGTTAGAATTTTCTTCATATACCGCTCTTAAAATATGCTTTCAGTCACTATAAAGAACACAGTTAAATAAACATCGTAACAGGATGAATAATTCATTGATCGGAAGCTTAAAATCAAACTATTCATCCAAGGATAAGCTTTACAGTATTCGAGCGGGGTTTTCCTTTAGTTTGTCGGGTACTGTTTTTTTGCTCCATTAAGGCATGCAGACCCGGTAGTCTAAATCCTTCACCAGAGCCACACGCTCCTATTGTGGCCTAGTCCTAAAATAATATTTATAGAAATCAAAGCTGGAAAGAAAGGGAACTCGGAAAATATAAAGGAATATTGTATGAGAAATTTTAGCGTCATGCGCTACCATGAAAACCCGATTTGCGTGAAGCTTTGAAGAAATAATTCCTGGTCAAATCCCACGACGTTATTTGCACTTTCTATTACTTTGCCTTCAATCAAAAGACCTTCAGAAAGAATTTGTAAAACTACTGCAAATACATTTTTTATTTTAATATTGATATAAGTATAGGCGCCGAGTTGAGAATAAAGCGAGGTGTCATATCGCTTGTATTTCATTTAAAACTTGATGAAAATGCTATGAAATTAAGCTGAAGTATATGGAGAGGTAAACGACCGAAAGGGAATGTCACCAAATACTATTGGAGACAAAATGGTGTATGCATTACCGGATGCATTATTCATCAACGAATTTATCTAAACGTTTTGAAACATCTATTGCATATGAAGTATATTGCAATCATTAAACAAAATGTTAATCATATTGATATACCAACAGAAAATAACGTTTAGTACACAAGATCTGTTTACTTTCTCAGCTATTTTTGTATTTAAGAAAATGAGACTTTGACATAACCATAGGATATGTTAATGACAAATTTTCTTAAAGTTTGTGGTCGAACATGTGCTGTGAGAAATAAAGAAAATCCTGCTTATGAAACACAAGTGTGATTACGGACAGTTATAAGGATAGTGCTTCATTAATTTTTGCAATGAAAATGGTGTCAATTCATATTTTGATTAAGAGAGTCGTTGATCATGTTAACGGGGGTGATTTTTAAAGACAAAAGTGAAGAACGGAGTCTACGGAAAAGAAACATCTTCTTTGACGTAGGTAGAAGGAATACCGTTCTTTAAGCTTCCACCGTGTAAGCTTTACACTTTGTATGAGTAGCTCTTCTATCATAATAGACACGCGAATTACAGGGATGACCGTCTTTCAAATGAAAAGAGAGGTATGGGTCAAGAGAAAAAACGAGATGCAGAAATTGACCAATCTGTCCTGGGACAGGAAATCTGATGGAGCCTGTTCCACACACCTACACGTGTTAAGTGCATTTGCCATGGAAATGTTTTGCTAACACCCAGCTAAGCTGTGAGGTTTTCCAACTCCCAAATGTTTACCTTTACAGAGGGTCACCTGTTGCGATAAGTGACGTTTCTATAGGAGCCTGGGATAAAGGCTAGCCTGCAGGGAGGAGCACGAATTGAAAGAATAGAAAACAGTTTCCAGGTCTCGTTTTGGTTCAACGTTGACCCAAATTTCAAGATTGGAATAGAGTTTTAAAATGATATTCCAGCTATTGTGAAATTAGACGTGCTTAAAGACATGTAGAGCTTTGCAAAAACGAATAACGCTTGGCAATTTTATCAAGAGAATCTATATAATTAACAAAAATATCGACATAAAAATTGTACACCGTATGTGCAGCTAATTCACATGCAAACTACAAGATAAAAGGATGAAGGGTGTTTATATGTGATAATATTCGCGATATCAAAACAATAAATTAGGTGATTTTGTCGGTGTGTATTAGGAGTCGTCTTGAGAAAACAGACCCTAAAGTCTCCTATAAAACTTTCAAAATCCAATTGAAGATGTGTTTGCAATCGAAATCTTCCTTTTTGCATGAATAGAGGTCCATTATTTTTAATGTCATTTTCCACAAATTTGGGGTCATTTTGGATTCCGGGTACAGTACTCGTTACACATTCATAAACGAAGTGAACATATCGTTCTCTGGATACACAATCTCTAATAATAATAATAATTCATTTTAATAAAAGAATTATACCAGTCACGAACAAAATATCGAAACCGAAAGTGTGTAGATGATTTGAAAAATGAACAGTTCCTGAAGAAACAAGCAAATCTCTAGTGACAGTAATCTACAAATAACCCGTCAGTTTTGTCATGTACCATAAATCAAATTCAAAGCGCAGACGGTTCAGACCGTCCGGGAGAAGAAAGTCTCCGTAAGTTCGTCTCTAATGTTCGACGTCTGACCCCATTATCAGAAGAGACATTCAAAATCGGCGGTGCAGACAGTATACACTGTTTTATACATTGAAACATAGGAAAAAGGCGGGAAGGGGAATGACATCACTGTTTGATGGTAATGTGTGGGGGACACCTAAAAGATGAAACACTGATAAATAATCTCTCTCGCTTTGGGGATATTAGGCCTAGCTACATGGAGTATCCATGGTCACCAATTCATTTTAATTTTCACGACTTGAGTGGATACTAAAAAGTAAAATGATGGAATAGGTCTCTTGCCTTCTATCGTTATTTCATTGTAGAAACAAGATGAGAATTCAAATAGACATTTTCTAGGGTATGGAAAAGACCTGGTAGTCAATAAAAAAGGGGGGATTTTCGGATTTCCAGCGCTCTCTGCATGGTTTAAAAATTGGTAAATATCAGGATCCAGGATATTCCAAAAGGAGTGGGGGCTGAAGCCAACGTGTGCGTGAAGCTCGTAAGCCCGGGCCCTTATGGGTGGGGCCCAGGAGCTTGCCTTAAGGCCCCTGTCGGGGGGGGGGGTGGGATGGAGCCCTCATACGTTCTCGAGGTTTAGCAATTCAGAAACCCCCATTTAGCCGTATTGAGCGAGAGAAACGCCCACTCTCTTTTTAGGACGATTTCATACAGCAAAGCGTTGTCTTGGAAAGCACTTCTATATTTACGGACAGTGTCCAGGAGCCTGTTTTAGGATCCCTTGTGGGTTCAAAATATGTTGCTAACAAAACAATTTGAAAATATGCCAACTTTTTTTTACCATCTTCCTTTTCTTTTTTTCAGGAGACATGGGTTTATCTGGACCACAAGGACCTCCTGGTATTCAAGGGACTCAGATTGACAACTGTTCATGCCTGGGTAAATACTATTCAACTGTTCGAAAGATACTCCTGGTGAACTCGTGTTTAGCTTGGGAGACGTCGCAAACAGAACCCGATGTAAACGTTTCTCTTGTGGTGATTAAGAGGCACAGTGGCGTAATAAGCAACCAAAAAAAAGAAAATGGGGGGGGGGGGAGAAATATTCGCATCCCCATCAGGTGGCAAAATGGGCAATTGTTTTTAAAGGGGGGATGCGGATATTGACGATAACGGTCAAGATATGGGCCTTCAAAGTACGTTTTAGCTTTTGCATATTGTTTTTTTTAGGTTATGTTGATTCATGAGGCATCTAACCAATGTCACTAGTTGATTGCTTACATTAATGTTCTTCACACTTTGAGCAATGAGATGATAAGTCAACATTCCACCCATTATCACATTGATGAAAGTGTACAAAAACGTAAGAAAACACTATATGAACCAGCAAGCCATTCCATCTGATCTCGACATATCTCGGTCAGCTCAAAGTCTCCCGAATAGCCCCAAAGAGCCGACTGATATCAATCACAGAGTGTGTTCTGTGCCATGTTTAAAATAGATGCTTTAAGGATATCCTTACAATGTCTTAATGACAATATCGATATCATCGTCCACGAAAACAGGTAGACAAGGTACTTCTTACGATCGCTTCCACCTTCTGTGTATCTATCAATGATGATATCAAGATCATCCGCGAGAACTTGGTTGACTGTATCTCGCTCTACGGCACACATAATGGCCAAGGAACGGAGCCTTTCTTGTCACATCGTGTTCCTGAGGTACACTGTAGGCCTTCAATTCTTTCAATGTGCTCAGTGATCGCTCCACGGAACAAGATGTAGCGGGGATTGTGGCTAGAATGACGGCCAACCTTGAATACGTGGGTAGGATGGCGTTGAACCCTTTCTCATACAGCCAAGAAACAAGCGCCGTGCAGCCTTTCGGCAGTTCAATTTAAATGCTGCAGAGAGGATTCTTCGTTTAGCTTTGAGCAGCCCCTGATCCATCTCATAGAAAGAACACATGGTTCACAATGCCTGGTGGTCATCTACCTTAAGCTTTCTGACAGCCATCCCTCTGAATCTTCCCCAATACTTCATGATTCTTGCAACTTCCTTCAATGAAATTGTACAGCGACTGTATAACACCAAGGCAATTGCGTATTTCACAGTTGCTCGAGATACTCTGCTGCAGAGCAAGATTAAGTCTGTGAACATGGCACTACTAAATAAGCATTTTTTTGTTGTTGCTTGACTATGAATTTGGGAATTTATCCTTTTAAAGTATAATTTACACAAAATTGAGAAAAAACCCGGATGATCATGTCATTTTATCAACAATTGTACATCTTTGGTATCGAATTAGAAATAAACCACGTTTAAATTTTATTGGTGGGGGGGGGGGGGGGACTGCCCCCCCCCCCCCCCCCATCAGTACGCCAGTGAAGAGGCGCGTCATAGATGTAATAATAACATCGCAGCATTTTGAGCCTGACATGGATAGTTGATCGCCTGAAGATTGGAAGAAACAAAAGTATTGGTCTAGATTGATTATAAAATTTGTCACTACAACACTTTAACATATTACCTTTACATGTTTAAAGGCATTTCCCGACGGGCATTCGATGTGATGCACAACTTTCCAATTATTTTTGGAATCAAAGATGAAAAGTGACATTGATGCCGTAATTTGCTAGACTTTCAATTAACCCTGAAAACGATTAACATCAATCAAAAACATTGACACCCTTTTTTGTTTATCTGTCTGATCATGACTGTTTCTAACTACAATTATGTTTTCGACTCAATTTTTATATCTAGGCACTCGTAGATCGACAGCTGATACTCACGGTGTTGAAAGTATTCCCCTTCAAGAGCTGGAAAACAAGATGCGCAGAATTCTTCTCCAGTCATCGATCTCTGGGGTTGTCACGATCGCCAATGATACTTCAGATACAGCAGAACTCACCATTAGCAGTTTTAAATCCGTTAAGCGCAGCTCTTCCACGCCCCTGGCAACGTCATCTGGCGAGTCGACAGGTGTGCAGAATGACGTCACTGATGACGCGTATGCTGCGCAAGATTCCGAGGTTGATCTTGGAAGTGATAACCATGATGCTCGCCAACCACAGGCTCTTGATCAGGACAGGACGTTGAAGCAATCGGAAAATACTCGCCTACGAGCTGGAAATGATCGCATTGCCGAAGGCACTATTATGGACACTGCAGCGACAAAAACAGACGTGCCAACATTGTTACCAGCGCATGCACTGAGTACAGAAAGCAGGACTATGGTCTTGAACGCACAGGAGACCTCAGAGGGAAGTGGTCCGCCCTTTTCAGATAATGAAGCAGAAGAATCAGCGTTCCTCACTGGCCGTAATGGGGCGAACAGCATAAACCTTGTTGACGACCAGGAAGGGATGGTCACCGAACCTTCAAAGATGACATCCGATCCTAACCTGCAGCAGATGACAACGCAGGGAAGCACCGCTGAGGGAGAAGTGACAAGGATGGGGATAGATGAACAGAAATGTGTGTATGGACGACTACTATTGATGAAATATGCGTTTTTATATTTGTAATCCAATATTTCCGCTGTGTTAGTCTTTTTACTCGTAAATGTGACCAAATTCCAGTTCAGTCAACTTGATAGATCTTTAACAAAAACTTATTGCATTTTATTTTTTATGTTTTAACCTGCAGTAATGAATATATCAGCTCTTCTCCAGCGCCTCAACGAGCTCACAGCTAACAAGACGTCTCTCTTGAACTTTGTGCAGATGTCTATCGCAAAAACGGTTACCTGTGGGTGCCCCGGACCACCAGGCCCCGTGGGTCCCCAGGGAGAGGTTGGGCCAAAAGGGGATAGGGGTTTGGTCGGCCTTACAGGATCTACCGGGGATAAGGGCGAGCGTGGGTCTCTGATAGACGGTGAAGGACACATATTGCATGGTCCACCCGGACCTAAAGGAGACCAAGGCATTTCTGGTTCAAGAGGTCCTAAGGGGGATCCAGGGCTTGACGGTGTTGATGGGATAATGGGTCTACCTGGGTTTAAAGGAGAAGCTGGTCCTCGTGGTATTCTGGGTGAAGTGGGGGATCCTGGACCGATGGGAATGAAGGGTTCCAAAGGGGATATGGGTCCGATGGGAACCAGGGGCCAGATTGGGTACGATGGTCAGAAGGGTCGCAAGGGAGAAACGGGTATCATGGGACACAGAGGTGTTCCTGGATCAACAGGACCGTTTGGACCGAAAGGAATCAAAGGAGATCAGGGTAATTGAATAATGGAAACATTCTGGGCACTACGTTGTATTGCTTTCCTTCTCAAAATAAATTTTGTAATTGATTCCTCTTTGGATATTAAGTAAGACGCCATCAGATACGAAAGGCATCGGAAAGAATTTTTTTTTTTTGCGTTGAGCCAGATTCCCCCCCCCCCCCCCCCTCCAAAAAAATGATCATGAGCTATTTACAACTAACTTTCAACAACAAGTGTACGTGATGCAACTGTTGAAATGCAATCATTTCAATATAAATACTCTTTTAAATGCATTAGCTATTCGCATATAAAAGATTTGAATTTCAATGGGGTACCCAATTGAGGAGGAAGATTACTTAAAATTTCCCCACCTCTTTGCCTATACGCACACCATTTTAAATAATAAATAATCAAGCGTTTCTATGTATCGTCAACAGCCGAAATTTAGATACATGTATTTTAAGATGACATTTGTGAGACAATATTCATGAATCCCAATTTCTACACCATGCAGGCAAGAGAGGCGAGATAGGCTACCCCGGTCTTACGGGTTCATCTGGTCCGCCAGGAGTGCCCGGAACACCAGGCCGTGACGGAATGAAAGGGCAAAAAGGAGAAAGGCATATTTATGTGCTCCCAGGTTCGAAGATGTTTAGTAGAATATGTTATCATTATTGCACAGTCGGCCATGATAAGTGTTATATTGACTATCGTAGCTACGGATATATTATTTTCAATATCCTTCTATTATCATTTCAATTACACCACCACAACATAATATATTCCTGAACAAAAATGCAATCGGATTGTTTATACCAAATGTCAGTCTTTTACTAACCGGATGACTGGGACGAAATAAATAAATAATACTTGTACCATGTACAAAGGTACATGGTACAAGTAATATAATGATGGTACACAGAACAAAATGTTCAAGTGAACTTTTTTTACAATAATCATGTCATTTTTTTTTTACATCAGATGGTAATGTGTCGCCTACAGAATATTCTTCTCTCACCCCATCGGACTCGAACCCAACAACCAAGCCAGCTAACATCGAACCCGAAAAGATGTTCAAAATCTACGAACCAATCGTGAAATCACGTAAGTCTCATCATTGTGTTTGGTTATCAGATAGGATGTAATTGGGGATACCTGGGACTGATTAAAAAAAAACAGTTGCGATTAATCGCAGCTTATTTGCGATTGGTATTGTTGGGTCGGGGCAATCTACTCATATTGGCCCTTCCACAACTCAGAATTATTTAGATAAATAAAGAACAATCAAGATGATTTGGTTACCTTTGATCCGTTTATTGCTCTCAACTCGAGCCGCATCTTGGAATTAGCATATCAATCAACATCTCATTTGCATATTCGTAACATATCTCCCCCCATAAAAGAAAGTTTCTATCAGTAGTTAGAACTTTCTTCTGAACAATGTAAGATGTAAAGGCGAGAAATTAACCACACAAAAGGTATAACAAGCTAGCATATGAACATCATTTTTCTAATATCAAAGACAGACCGATTAGTCCTTTCATTTCAACATTCAATAACAAAACACAAACTGCAGAAAAATGAAAACAACTTCGATAGATAACATTATACATGTATGTTCTCTTCCTGAATCCTGGAAGTAAGTACCAGGACATAATCAGACACCTTGCCTGTGTTTTGTAAAGAACCACAAACTGTGGTGGACGAAACACGTCTCTACACATCACACATAATGAATATATGAATACATGAATATATGAGCGTAATAAGCACGCGCTACAAATGAAACACTGAATATTCAGCACAGGCGCCGATATCCTAAATGCACACAACTACAATAACAGGTGATTGCATATTCATATAATGAACGCGCACAACGTAGTCACATGACGCGTTGCTATGACGACACCTCATTACTATGTCGGAATGCACGCAGAGTCTCATTAAATATGTCGGTCAACAAAAACAATATGTTATAATGATCCACATAACTGTGCACAGCTCGATTTGAAATATTTCTGACATTAAATGCAAGAATAAGGGTACATACATGTACATATTTTGTGTACATATTACATGAGTAACATAATCTTTTGAGTTACTGCTGCAAGTTATAAATTGAAACTTGTTTAAATACAAACAAATAAGCAAGACTTATCAAGTTAAATCACAAACATAACACTTGCCTTTTATTCAAATTATTATCATAATTATTTTGTTGTTGTATAAAATGGAAAATGCATCAAGCTTTGCATAGCATAGCTAACAGTGCTGCGTATAAACAATAATTGTTCTCTTTTGATCAAAAGAAAACTATTCTCAATAACATACATCTGTTGGGTCGGGGCAATCTACTCATATTGGCCCTTCCACAACTCAGAATTATTTAGATAAATAAAGAACAATCAAGATGATTTGGTTACCTTTGATCCGTTTATTGCTCTCAACTCGAGCCGCATCTTGGAATTAGCATATCAATCAACATCTCATTTGCATATTCGTAACAGTATCAACCGCAACTATGTACATTATATATTGAAGAGTGCAAACTTGCGATTGGTTAGAGGGCTTGCGATTGATTCGGATCAATCGCAACTCTTTATAAGACGGGGCCCAGATGGCACACCGCCATCTTTTCATGACTACATAATGATAAGAAGGAAAACGGAAGTGTTCCAAGGATGGGACGGGATAAGGTGTAACCCCTTCCCTCTCTGTCCTCGGTTTGACGGCCCAGAAATAGATAAAATAAGTGGGTGTATGCGTAATGGCTCCTCAAAAAATGACTTTATTTTTCTCTTGTCACAGATCCTTTACACTAAATGTCCTTATAATTAATCTGCTGCCCCTGGTTTATGACACGGGGGTGCTGAATACATTCCGCCCCTTACCCCAGTCCGCCAAGGACCCCCTCCCCCTCCCCTACACACACACACACCATCTATATCTTTGTATGGATACGCCACTGGCATGGCGATACACTTCTCTCAGATTAGTAGACAAAAAGAAAATGAGATTTTTTAGTTTTAACTTGTCTTCTCGTCCAAATCTAATCGGGAGGAAATACATGACAATGTCTTCCGTTTTTAATTTCTTTCTAGACTTAACAAATTTGTTGACTTGACTATTTTTTATCCTGCGAAATTCTGAAAATTTGCTTCCGGATTATAGCATTTTTGGGCCTAAGAGCATTCTTTTACACTGTGTTTTATTCTCATTTTGGGTGGTCCTTTCGCCCCGCCCTTTCTCAGTTTGTTTTTGCAGTGGGCATGATAACATTATTGGTATCTGTATTTTTATATCTTAGAGTGCCGTTTGACGAATATTTCTTCTCCACGTGAGATACACGCTATGACAAGATCATACGGAGCCTGGATGAAAGACACCTCTATGGATAGCAGACATCCTGATATGATATGGGTTACTATGCATCACCGTGGTGCAATACTCATAGGTAAGAATCATTTTGTGTTACTCATTCATAGTACACGTGCTGGAGCGCAACATCTAAATGTTTATAGACTGTCGGTAAATCATTGAAATTGATTTACGTTCGAAAATTTAATAAATCTGACAAACACCGTTTCGTATTGGTAGCCGAAAATTTGACATTTATCGGTGTTTCAGTTATATAGCCTACGTTTTATAGGAGAGAGAGGGACGGGGGTTTAAGGTTGTAAAAAGAAAACTTTAACATAAATTTCAATGTACTTCAAAATTACAAAAAGGAGGATTAAACTGAGGGTTCGAAGACAGACTATGGTCTAGACGAGAGGTTAAAACATTGTGAAAAGGCATGTCAAACTTTGCCTACATTTTTGCAAACGTAGTAAGTACTAGGAGAAAGGAAAAGGAACAGACCTACCTTGACAATTTGTCAATACAGTTTCACTGACTGGATGACTCTTCTTGCGCTTCTCCATGAAACAATAAATAACAAGCATATCACCCCTCCAAATTACAAATCCTTCTCTTCATGTTACGTCTCTTTCCACAGAGTACAAGAATCTTGATGAAATGAAAAGGCGTCGCCTCTCAGCAACCTTCGCATTGCCTTTCCAGTGGGATGGTGCCGGTCACGTTGTATACAATGGATCGTTCTACTATCATCATCTCAACAAAGATTATATCATTCGATATGACTTGACTACAGGATCCATTATTGAGCGCGTAAGTTTGTTAATAAGTTTTAAGTGTTCTAACTTATCACATCAGTCGTAAAGAGTCGAAAATCAAACTAGGGCAACTTTAATTGCCTTGTACATCACTTATTGAAATGTGCTAATGGTTGTAGTTATCGTGGTAAATGTTTTACAAAGTAGAATCATTTTTGGAATGGCAATTCAATGGCATCATTGGGTGGTTTTTAACGGGGAGGGGAGGGTACTTGACCAACAAATAAAACTATTTGTTTACAAGGCTCAAGAAAACCTGGCCGATTTAAATATTAAAGGCGGACGGGGGTTGTATTCACTCGTCAACTCTACCCTCTACCCCCCCCCCCCCCCCACGTACACACACATACAAAGATATACAGTCTAGATAATTCTCCTTGATATAGTGTAAAAAATTGTTTATTATCACTTGTTGTTTGTTATTTTCTTCAAAAGGCACATGTTCCATCTCTAGGTTATGCCAGCGACGACTTGTTCCAACTATCATCCGGATACACCAACGTCGATTTCGCCGTGGATGAAAACGGTCTGTGGATCATATACCCAGTCACTCGCCCTGGATCGGTCGGAAAACTCACCGTATCCAAACTCGACCCTGAATCACTGGAAATCATCACAACTATCACGACGGATCATAACTTCGAGTCAACGGCCAATGCGTTCATTGTCTGTGGAGTCTTGTACACGACCAAAGGACCGCATAGCCGACCATCGAGGGTCGATTTTGCTTTTGACTTGTTTAGAGAGGTTGTATTGGAGGATATAAGTATGAATATTCAAAACAGACATCGTAAAACTGTGATGCTCTCATATAATCCTCGGGATAGACTCCTCTATGGATGGGATAAAGGAAAACTTCTGACTTATGATGTCGCCATCAAGGAATATACAGACGATTAAAATATCATTTTGTTCGGCATTGTGAATATGTAAATAGTTGAAATAAAGATAATGTAGTATAATCTGGATTTACATAGCACTTAATACGAAAAACCTTTTCTCAGCGCTTTACAGATATGATTACCCTAGTCATCAGATTCATTCACGCACAATGTGCACCATCTCCACTCCCTGGGGAGTATTCCTACCATATGGTCACATTGAGGGTATATGGCAATTACTAACACAAAGGCTTTCGTCATCTTACACCTCTCCTGGGTATGCAGTAGCACATGCAAACTAATGCCATGCCAAAGGACTTAAGTGCCATATCGGGGATTGAACCCACGACCATTCCATTTCGAGTCAAGAACTTAAACCACTCGACTACAACACCTCTACAAACATCTCTTGTAACTTTTTTCTAGAAATGATACAAATATTGAATAACTAAGTTAAGATTTAACTTAAAACTGCAATTAAAGAACATGATCATAGTCCTTTAAATTGAACAGTTTGGTAGATTTATGCAGTTATTAACATCCGTATTCAAAGAATAAATGTTGTAATGTACAATTATCTTGTGTTTTGTGTACACTTCTTTGGCAGAAAGGGAGTACATGTATATTCAAGTGATAATACTAATAATAAAACTAATAATAATTGGATTTATATAGCGCCTTTTACAAAGGATACAAGGCGCTGTCTCTTATAGACTATCAACAATTTAAGAGGGGTTGTACAGGTACGTGATTTCAAAATTGTCTCCATTTCAATTAAAATTGATACAACAGAAATACCACTCAACTTATGTAAGATTGTATAAGATGATTTTAGTACAATCTAACCCTTGCATGTGGGGGAAAACGTATCATGGTCCTTGATACATTTGGAATACTATTTCTTGTAGCTAGAAAGGAGCCATGTAAATATATATTTTCTGTTGAGGTGCTATAACTTATGTAAATAAAACGTAGATATGTACATAGTTTACATCTGTTAAACTTGAAGTCTTATACCTTGCACTGTATCACAATCTCACTTGTTTCCTATCTTGACTTTGATTTAATTAGATTGAATTATTATTACTGCATTGTTTGATATTTTACAAACTGTGTATCGAGGGTCCAGTGACACAAAGACGTAACTCTATATTTTGCCAAAATGAATATTTGATATCAATATGTTCAGAAAAATGTGGGCTTTCCAGGAAACACAAAGACTTGACTCCACCCAACACCCATTTGAAGTCAATGGCTAGTGAAGCACAGACTTAACTCCTTAAGGCCTAAGTGCTCAGTGACACATAAACCACTTTTTCTAAAAATGGCCAATATGGAGTTACGTCTTTGTGTCACTGACCCATAGATATGTTCTTATTACATGTAAATTTTTCTTGTTAGTCTTTAGTCAAATTCATGTGAAGAAGTGTATTTGCTATGCAACAAACTGTCTTACTATGCTGTATATATTTATATATATATTTATGTACATGAGCTTATGTGATTTGGTTTTCCTAGGCATGTTAGGTCATGTTGTTTATTTCCCTAGTTTGAAAAAGAAGCAGTTTAGTGGAAAAATTTGAAATTTTGTTTTGAAATGGAACAACACAACCCCCCAAATCTAGTTTTAAAGCTTGATAATTCAAAACTTACATTAAAATCATTGAAACTTATATAATGTTACAAAGACTATTTTCTATTTCAGAGATGCATTTTGACAAAGTGTTTATATAATATTGGATGGCTTTGAGTATGATACAAGAATATATTGCTCAAGTTATGACAATATAAAGCGCTTCGAGACATTGTATTAAGCACTATATAAGCGGAATATTTTACCATTATTTATTTTTAACGAGTCGGAGACGAGTCCAATATTGTCATAGCGAGAGCAATCTATTCTTGTATCACAAGAAAACAAAGCCATATCATATTATTATTATTATCTATATCAGGCTGACTATCGAAATAACAAAATTTAATTTACCTCGGTAAATAGGCCTTTGTTTTTTGTGTGATATCGATATCGATAATTGAAGTTCCCGGATGACTGAGCAATATGAAAACAATATTTGTCAGTCATCCGAGTACTGCGCTAAAGATATTATATACACTGATTTAGTGAACCACTAGCAAGCCTTATATAGATAATATTTGAATATACCCACAAAATACTTACATAATGTACATGGACATTTATCCATGTATTTACACCCATAAAAATGATTCAAAAATTGTCTTGAGATTTCTGAAAAGCAAGATATTTTATTTACTTTTGACTTTTATCCATGTTTAACATGACAAGATAGGCAATATTAGGAGGTTTCAAGTACATGTTTTACATGAAAAGAAAAACTTGGTTATTATTTACAAAAAGTACTATGTGTTCATATGACAAATGAAAGAAATAGAAAACAATTGAACCAGATCAATATCACATGAACGTAGCTCGTACTAAACTGACCAAATCTTGTCATACAGTCATTAGTATTTTTTTTTTAAATTTAAAAACCAACAACTTTTAATTGTGTATTTTGCCTGAAAAAAAAATTAAAGATAATATCGGAATAAGAGTCAGGGATCTTGATTATTTTGTTGTCCGCATCTTTTCCTGATATTTTCCATTAAAAACACTGAAATATCTTTCATACCAAGAAATGGTTTCACAAAAGTCCACCTGCATGATTTTCCTTCAATGTTTCAGATATAAATAAAGTTTGACCTAAACATCTTTTAGTAATCATCCACAAACGGTACTTCTTATTAGTGAATGTGCAGTTACAATATCATTTTAACAATGAAAAGTAAAGTCAGTGCAAATGAAGAGACATAATATTTTGAGGCACACATTTTAGATGGGAAAACATTCAATATAAATTTGTGCTGCAGGTGCTATCAATTTGCAGTTTCAGTTTACTTACAATGTAATGTATGCTCCATTGTTCCCCTTATGGAATTTGATGCATTATTATTGCAGTCATGTAATGCAATCCTTAGGAAAAGCACATTAATCCTAAGAAAGCGAAAATGTTTTCACTGTATATATTTTGGACATACACCTGAAGCTGTTGTGATTTTGTAATAAACCTTCCTCATGAAATTAAGGGAAATTTGCTTTGAGCATTTCTTCTCTACCATGAAAAAATGACACTCAAACTTCTTTAACACAGATAACACACATATATGTACATTCTTTGGTGTGCAAAGTGGCATAACGTGTCTAGTGTGTAAAAACTTAGTTATATTCTACAAAAATATATTTACACTCTTAACCCTTTATTCAATTCTCTTCTATTAATGCTGGTTTTAAGACAGAATGTGCAAAATTTGGCATTATTATTTATTTATTATTAAGGCTTCTATTAAAGTGATACAATAAATCAGTGTATTCAATATCTTTAGCACAGTACCCGGATGACTGATCAATATTGTATTCGTATTGCTCAGTCATTGGGGAACTTCAACTATCGATATCGATATCACATGAAAACAAAGCCATATGTATCAGGGTAAGTCAAATTTTGTTATTTCGCTAGTCAGCCTGATATAGATAATAATAATAATATGATATGGCTTTGTTTTCATGTGATACAAGAATATATTGCTCTCGCTATGACAATATATTCTTGTATCACACTCAAAGCCATCCAATGTTACATAAAAATTGTCAACCAGGATAAACGGTATGAACAGGCACATAATGTGGAAAAGAGTACATGTATATCATGATACACCCAAGATTGCAAACATAATACAGATATGCATTACTGAAATTCTGCATTTAGGATTCTCATAACTTTTTCCAGCATTAGCTAGTCGGGTCAGCCTTGATTCTTCTTAGAAATGTAACATAAGGTCCCTAACAGAATTTACAAACAAATTTCTTCCCTTGTGTATTTGAAACAAAACTTGACTGCACCGAGAAGGATTTCAGTGGGTTTGCCTTTTCTTATTCAGCTTTTGTTTATCCCTTGTCTTGTTGCAATATGGTGCCAATTACATTAAAGTCTATTAGTGCACGTGTGCTTTTCCAAGAGGAAACAAGGCACTAAAAATGTACATATCACAATTCTGTATTTCAAAGACAAAGAAATCCAGACCTACTTCCTCATTCAAAACAAAATACATGTGATGGAGAGATGCATTTTGTGAGGCACTTGCAGAATTTTAATTTCCAAAAGTATATCCATATATGTCATATTATCTCTCATATATTAGGCACTTAAATGATTTGTAATTTGCACAAGGCCAGTTTTATGCTTTTGCCTAATCAGAGCAAATAAACTGTATTCTCTTGTATCTCCTGCATTAAGGTATTTCCTGAATTTAATACTGCTTCACATAATATAGGCTGTTTATCATATGTACACCAGACAAACAATCTTGAAGTTCTCTTTAATCTAATGATCACCATTCCAATTAATAAAAGTAGAAGGAGGTATGGTCTTTGTCCTTGCATACGAGCAGCCCATCAAATTCCTATCCGGTACGAGCCTCATGTTTCTAGCCTCTCTGAATAGGTGATCAACAAAACACATACACTGTGCATTTGCCATACGTTTTTCTGGGACCCCTTTCACAAAGCCTTTTTTTGTAATGACAAATGACAAAATCCAGTGACAAATCTGCTGTTAACCAATCAGAAGCAAAATTTCAGTAGCTTATAACAAAAACTGTCAATTGTGACTGATGACAAGTTTTGTGAAACAGGCCTAGGTCTCTGGCATCTCTAATTAGGTGATGAACAATACCTTAAAGTACAGTGGTTGACTGCATGTCTTTGACATGTTTGCAGCCAATCCTGGACATTCTGTCTGCGATATTTCAGAATAGCTGATATAAGACACCCAATGAGCCAGGGGTGGCATCATTGTCCTTGCATGTAAACAGGCCACCCTGCAGCTTTCCTCACACTAGTTCAAGTCCTGTAGGATCCTAGATCAACTGGGACCCGTTTCACAAAGCCTTTTTTAATGAAAAATGACAAAATTCAGTGACAAATCTGCTGTTAACCAATCAGAAGCAAGGATTTCAGTAGCTTATAACAAAAACTGTCATGTGTCACTGATGACAAGTTTTGTGAAACAGGGCCTAGGTCTCTGACATCTCTGATTAGGTGATGAACAATATCTTCAAGTACAGTGGTTGACCACATGTCTTTTACAAGTACGCAGTCGATCCTGCCCATTCTGTCGGCAAAATTTCAGAAAAGCTGATATAAGACACATAATGAGCCAGTGGTGGCATCCTTGCCCTTGCATGTAAACAGGCCATCCCGTGGCTTTCCTCACACATCTTAATATCCTGTAGAATCCTAGATCAACTGGGACCCGTTTCACAAAGCCTTTTTTTCAATTACAAATGACAAAAAACAGTGACAAATCTGTTGTTAACCAATTAGAAGCAAGGATTTCAGTAGCTTATAACAAAAACTGTCATTTGTCACTGATGACAAGTTTTGAGAAACGCCCCCTGATCTATGTGGAGTGACAGAGGTAGGGTAGGTGTCTTTACATGTAAGCAGCCCATCCGATGTACATCAGGCACAGGTTCTTCTTGTCCGTAGCTTCTCTGATCAAGTGATCTTGTAGGATCCTAGATCAACTGATCTATGTGGAGTGACAGAGGTAGGGTAGGTGTCTTTACATGTACGCAGCCCATCCAATCCTAGATCAACTGAGCTATGTGGAGTGACAGACGTAGAGTAGGTGTCTTTACATGTATGCAGCCCATCCGATGTACATCAAACACAGGTTCTTCTTGTCCGTAGCTTCTCTGATCAAGTGATCAACATGGCCCTCGATGGACAGGGGCAGAGTCCGTGATTTGTTCTTGATCTTCAAGATGCCCTGCAGTCTCTGCTCTATGTCACGTACATGGACCAACGCCTGGACAAGGAGAAAGATAAACCAGGAGTAAATGTTACCAGAGATGCTTCAGATCGTAGTAACTTTTAAGGGCTGACTGAATTTAAAGGTAGCATTTATGTCATCATACATATAGTAAAGAGAAAACACCAGCATCATCATAATCATCATCATCATTCCTCCTCTTCTTCATCGTCATCACCATCATCATAATTGTCATCATCATAATTGTCATCATCACTATAACCATCATCTTCGTTAACATCACCCTCATGCACCTTTCAAGCCTGGTGCTTTTGTTAAACACCATAAAAACTGTAAGAAAATATTTGATTTGGAAATGCTTTACTGCATGTTAGGGAAAGTACATGTACATGGTTTTGCTTTAAAAGTATAAAAGCCTACACTGTACTTCAAATGGTTCAAACTTGCCTTTTCATTGTTGATTTCTCCCGATTCACTGAGAGCATTGCTTCTTCCCCTGGACGGTTTGCTCCACTCCACCAAAGGATCATAGATGAATGTCTTCAGGACACTGTATCAAACACATGTAGGATATTCATCAAGCATAATTCTCATGTGCATGTAAAGAAATTGGAAATTGATATAAATCAACAAAGCCAATACTCTAAATTTGCTGTATAGAGATTTCTATCAGTGTAAGAGTCTAAAGAGATTGAGAGCTTCATTTGAAAGAATACAGGATTTGTTAATGAAAACTAATAAAATACAACTGTATCTAAACATAGTTCACAATGTTTCACACAGGATTTAAAAAGCAAGATGTATTAAGTATGTGATTTATGAATCCTTTACATGTGTGTACAATCTGTTGACATGGTGCTCATAAATCATGCAGCAACAGGGTGAAATCTGAAACCTCTCTTCAGAACTTGACTCTAATTTTGTCTAGCCCATATCTATTAAAGGTAATACAAAGTTTGGGTATGGGGTCATGAATTTGGTTCAAATGAACATATTGGAAGCATATGGGATCCTACAATATTCAATGATCATTGTCGCGGTTGAAATCGAGTCGAAAGTTATGAAATTGTAAATAATAAACTCTTTATGCTGTATAGCTCCCTCTCAAGGTCAACATATTAATTAAGCTATAAAACAATATGTCTTGACTAAAATCGACCAATTAGCTATTCCCGTTTGGAAATGATATATCACAACTACATATTCTGAGATTTTCATGGTCGCAGCTACCATTGTACGGCCGTAGGCCCCATTTGAAATTTATCAAAATTTACCTGGAGCACCGATAAATTTTGATATTCAATTTTTCTCGAAAGCAAAAGTGTTTTAGGGGCTTAATTTTCTAGTGCTTATAATACATCCACAGGGGTATCCAATTAAATCAAAATTGTAAAGAATCACTATCCACCCAATTTCAAAATTTCCCAAAACTTTGTATTACCTTTAAGAAAAGTGCAGATCTGACCACCACTTCATACCCCATGGGTCCCACAACACACACCATTAGAATGGTAGACTTACCTCATGAGGGGGTCTCTCTGGTCCCTCATGACTTTCATGGTCCCCTCACAGAAATGTCTGACCACCCCTTCATACTCCATGGGTCCCACAACACACACCATTAGAATGGTAAACTTACCTCATGAGGGGGTCTCTCTGGTCCCTCATGACTTTCATGGTCCCCTCACAGAAATGTCTGACCACCCCTTCATACCCCATGGGTCCCACAACACCACACCCTAGAATGGTAAACTTACCTCATGAGGGGGTCTCTCTGGTCCCTCATGACTTTCATGGTCCCCTCACAGAAATGTCTGACCACCCCTTCATACTCCATGGGTCCCACAACACACACCATTAGAATGGTAGACTTACCTCATGAGAGGGTCTCTCTGGTCCCTCATGACTTTCATGGTCCCCTCACAGAAATGTCTGACCACCCCTTCATACCCCATGGGTCCCACAACACACACCATTAGAATGGTAAACTTACCTCATGAGAGGGTCTCTCTGGTCCCTCATGACTTTCATGGTCCCCTCACAGAAATGTCTGACCACCCCTTCATACCCCATGGGTCCCACAACACACACCATTAGAATGGTAGACTTACCTCATGAGAGGGTCTCTCTGGTCCCTCATGACTTTCATGGTCCCCTCACAGAAATGTCTGACCACCCCTTCATACCCCATGGGTCCCACAACACACACCATTAGAATGGTAAACTTACCTCATGAGAGGGTCTCTCTGGTCCCTCATGACTTTCATGGTCCCCTCACAGAAATGTCTGACCACCCCTTCATACCCCATGGGTCCCACAACACACACCATTAGAATGGTAAACTTACCTCATGAGAGGGTCTCTCTGGTCCCTCATGACTTTCATGGTACCCTCACAGGCGCGTCTGAACACCCCTTCATACCCCATCGGTCCCATAGCACACACCATGTTGTGAGTTAGACGGAATGGTACCCTTTCAGGCCAGTCGAAAGTCTCACCCTGTAGTAAGGAAAAGCATCAATCCAATATCTTAATTATAAATTTCACATTTAAGCCTCTATGACAGTTACATAATGCCCCTCTCTTTGTGTCAGGTCTATGTGATGCAGAATCAAGGTTATCACCCCATTACATCTTGAAGCAGTAATCCAAAGTGTTTCATGGACTTGAATAAAAAGTTCAATGGTTCGATTCCTGGCCCTGTGATTATGCCTCTGAGACAATCACCTAAAGATGCCTCTCTCTATAGACCCTTGTAGAAGGAAAGGGAGTGTGTACTGGTGTTGGTAGTGTTGTTTGGTTGTGATGTTGGTGGTGGCAGTGGTGGTAATGGCGGCATCATAATTTCTCTGAACAACGAAGTGATTCATACCTTGTTGAAGAGACAGTTGAAGTCGACATGAACACAGTCTCCGTTGGTGGAATCAAAGAGGATGTTCTCTCCATGACGATCACCAAGACCAAGGATGTAACCAACCATGGACATCACAGCCATGGTACGAGCGTAAGCAAGGCGACTTAGATACCTAGGTAGACAGGTTAAAAACATTCCTTAAAGGTATAGACCAGTTCTGGTCATGCGATTGCATTGTGAAAGAAATGTTGTGGAATCAATCGGAAAAGGTTGATCATCTAGCATAGAAGTATTGGTGTGTACTGCAAGGTTCTAAAATCATTAAAATGATAAGAAATTTGGCCCAGTCATGGTAAAGTTACAAGCACTGTACACAGAAAGATGTATATGGGACTACCCTATATCTATCCAGTCCGGATAGATATAATAATTCACCAAAAAATATCAATTAGTAGGCGGTTTCCGAGCAAAATTTGTATTAGTCAAAACGTATTCTTTCGCATGATTGGTAATAAGAGCTTCTATTTCATTTTTTTTGAGAGAGGGGCGTTTCTAAAACTGGCTTTACCTTTAAACATTATTACAACAAAGTAGATCTCAAGTCTCCATCTTCTCACATTTCAATCTCTCTATTGCCTTTTGATTAAGAGAACATTACACAGAGTATGGAGGATGTGATGAGAACCCTTACCATGATGTAGGATCTGTAAATGTCTTCTGGAACCATTCTCCAAAGACTGGTGGATAGCGAGGCATCAGTTTGTTCTCAAAGATGTTCAGCTTCTCACTGGAGAGAGTGATATAAATATATATTATTATTAATTATTATTATTCTGTTGGTAGCGAGGCACCAGTTTGTTCTTAAAGATATTCAGCTTCTCACTGGAGAGAGAGATATTAATATATATTGTCATTTATCATTATTATTATTCTGTTTTTAATTATTTCATACATCAGCAAAGTATATTTCTACACCTGTTGATATCTATGTACGTTGGGCATAGAATGCTGAAACGCTAATGAGTCAAGTTCAATGACTCATCAACTTCATAATACATCAAAACCTCAGAAAATAAAAGTCTTGAAGTGTTTTAAAAAAATAGCTAAACACTACTACAGGGTGTACATGTAGGACAAAACAAAAAATGATGATTGGGAGGATGACCTAAAGTGCACTGTCTCCTCCTCACCCATAGTGGTAGAGGTTTGAAAACATCAAACACAGAACGACATATGATTGCATGATATCAGTAATGTAGAGTACTTACTCAATAGGAGCTGAGAGACTTGGGATCATAGCTTTGAGTTCACTGCCGGAGGTATACAAGCCTTTCTCCCTAGGAATAAATGAAACAATCAAACATGTCAGTGCATTTATCATCAGAAGCTGAGAGGATGTCTCCTTTCTTTAACATCTTTGGAAATTTAAATCAACCTGTCTCACATCATTCTAGCCCCCCCCCCCCCCCCCCCTCTCCTATCATAACAGATCTAATCGATAATAAACGATAACGCAAGAAGCCTTAGTGGCTATTTGAATAAGGGAATTGTCCTTTGATTATGCCCAGAATGGATAACAAGTAATTACAGAAGAGAACACTCAGTAGGTATAAGGGGATGTTACCTGTATATTTTGTGTAGTATTGGTCTGAGTCCAGCAGTGTTTGAGACCCATTCAATCAAACCGCATTCCTCGTTCAGTGGGATCACAGTCTGAAATAACAAATACATTTACATATCATCATCAAAGGTCTTGTGACATATCATTGGGTGACAGGTCTTGTGAAATATTATAGTATTAATGACTGCTGCCTCTGGCAATAGCACAATTCTAACCTTCCCTTGAGCGTATAAAAACAACTATTTCTCAAAAATTAAAGCAGTCATTAATACTTTTATATGCCGAAAACAAAAGAGTCAACTAATGACACCACCTTGGCCTTTCTCTAGTTTATCTACATGGTTGTTTTTTATGAGTGTATCTTTGAGAGTAGACTAGATCTAGATTCTACTAGTCTAAGCAAGATATTTTTACAATTTTGGGGGTGGGCCCGCCCTGTGGGTAATATGGAGAAGAACCTGCGCTTTCATATGACACCTCACTTATTGGGTATCACCTTCAGGATCACAACAGATAAAGGTTTGAATCTCGAATTGAAAAAAAGACTTTTTTTGCATGGTCGCGCAATGCACGTAGACTGCACAGAGACTGCATTGCGTGCAATCTCTATGGGAAGAATTTTAACACACAACATCGGGTGCGTGATCAGATCTATTTTCGTCTACGTCTATGCTTTTTCAGCAACTAAACGAACATGTTTATGGATAATTTCACGTACCCTTTTTGTTGTTCTTGCTGTCAGCGAGTCTTGCATTTGATAAGTTGAAATCTTGGGAGAGTTTCTTTAGCCATTTTTGTCTTGTTTGGAATTGTCTTGTCTTGTATGAAAATACCGACCGATAAGTTCTTCGCACACGTACGGTATCCTCGATCGCTCGAACCATTTTTAACATGTAAACCTATGGGTAACCATGGTTACTGGGATTTTAGAACTATTTTTTAAAACTATTACATGGGTTTGGAATTTTACCTGGAATTTTACAGGAATAGTTAAAGTTTATGAATGCGATTTCGAACAATCAGATGGCTGGATTTCTTAAGTTAGGTGTATAACATTGTATAATAGGTTATGTGATAGGTCTTGTGACTGAAATAGTCAGGAATGAGCATACTCTTAATTAGCAGATTCTGATCTGAAAACAAACAGCAGTACTTCAATTATTCAGACTACATTCATCTGCCCTTGCCACTGAACCCCTGCCCCCTCCTTCCCTCTCCCAAAAAGAGAGAGAGAAAGAGAGAACAGAGAAGTATTAATGAAGGCTGTCATTGCCTTTCATGCAAACTCTTGGGAGTAGAAATATTAAACCATCGTTCACAAACTTTAAAATCTACCCAGAAGTGTTGATCTAATTTTCTCAAGCTTGAGATTGCTCAGGCTCATTAAGAAGCACTTATACAAACTCAATGATAATAGGCAAAGAAATACAAACTTACGTATGTTCTGATATAGAGCTCTCTCCTCCTAGACTCCACATTCTTTCTGAGGCACTTGTTGATGATACCATTGAACTCCATCAGACGATTGTCTTTCCTTAGATCATCCTGCAAAGGTTGTATGGTGCTCACATTTAAGATAACAGTTTGGGAATACACAGAGGAATCCATAATACAGGTATGTCCTCTTAATATGCAATGAAAAGTTCAATGGACCACAAGCAACAGGGTAAATGCAAAACGTGACAGACATGTGAAAGCCAAGTATGTTTGTAAACACTGTCTATATGTATATTGCTTCATTCTCGTGTAAACTATTTGTAAATTTGTTCATACATGATGACATAGTAACACAAAATGGTAGTGAGGATATTTCCCTATCCCTTCCTATCCTTCCCTTTCTTTGATATCTGTAGTCCCCTACCCTTACCCCTCCCTCATTTTAACCCTTAAAACTCTCTTCACTATAAACCTTACCTTTCGTTTAAACATCATAACATTGAGCCTACCATCCCTACCCTGGCCATCGTCTTTGGTATCGGTAGTTCCCATCCCCACTTCTCCCCATCCTTCCTCCGCCATGTGCAACTATGTACCTCTCCCCATTCATGATTTTAGATCAATGCCTACAAGCTTTCACCCTATTAACATTACCTTGGGTTTACACATCATGACATAGAGTCTGCCATCACTGCCCTGTATACCAATCTTCTTGGGTCTCTGTAGAGATGGCAGCACTTCAACCTGCATTGTGAAGAGATACACATCAATTGTACAATCAGATACCATCACCTGATAAGACAACTTACCTTTACATTTTGTGGACATTAAAGCAATTGGATTTACACCCTTTAGACCATGATTTTTTTAATAACAGCTGCCATCAAAAAGCGTTCAAGGAATATCTTTTTAAGAGCTACCCAATTGTGGCTCCTGGATAAAGAGAGTAAAGAGCAAAAAACAGCCTTGTCTTTATACGGCATACAGTATTAAAGCCCTACTGTACTACTTGTAGCTACTTGCTCCCTCTATATAGAATACAATGCCTAAGCGGTGCTTGTTGGTCCCCAATAATCTTCTTTTTCTTATGTTAATTGAGAGCTGAGTTGATGAGATAGCCACCTGTCAGTGACCACACTATGTGGTCTAATCCCTCCTGGCAAACTAGTACAGACGGGCTTTAAAGCATTATGCAAGAGAAGATGAACAATGATTCTTGCATAAGCCCTTGCTGATTAAATTATAAGAACATTATATATTGTGTAAATACATGTAGTGTGTATCGTTAATCATTCATTTCACTCTAACAGGGTTGGATCATCAGTTGTAAAAACCTTGTCACAGAGAGCCCCATGAAAGAGAAGAAAATCATATCTGAGCAGTTTTAAAAACTTACCGTATCATCAAAGCCAATGATATAGACCTCAGTCAGTGGGAAGGGGTCATGGGTATGGTGAACTGACTGACTGCTTGGTAGGGTGACCGTCATGGCCGACTGCAGAGGGACAATAATCTTGCTGAAGTTGCTGCAATAAGATAATATTCCTAACAATTAAAAACAATTTTTGTGAACAGTCAAACCTCAGGGCCACCCATGGGAAACACCAAAGGTGGCCACTGTAGACAGATGGTCATTATAGAAAGGTTCTTCATCACACATTTAGTTCTAGAGGGAGGCAATATGGGTGATCAATATAGACAGGTGGCTCTTATAGAGAGGTGGCCCCTAAGAAAGGTTTGGCTGTAGCTTCATTAGTTATTCCTATTAAAGTGGTAAAGAGTTTGGCGCCTTTATTAGCATTTACAAGTTACAACATACACCTTAAACCCCTGGCCCAATGGAACCAGTTGGCTCCTGTATTAAGCTTATGGGAATGAAAGAACTCAGTAGTCAACAGGTTATGAGAGTACTAAAGGGATCAATAATTTTGTTATTGCTACACCATGCATTTTGCAAAAAAAATTAATCTGTGAAGTCGACAAAGAATGTTTTGACTCCCTTCTTGAGCAGAGATCTTAATTTTGCCTTCAAATTACAGAGGCAGGAATATTTAATCAGTAACAAAGCTTTTCATGACATAGTACATGTTTACCAAAATGAGCAAATATAAATAAGAATCAGGTATAACTTACCTATCAGCAAGGAGTCTCTTGAGTGATCTGAAATCGCTGTTGATACTGAGTCTCTGACATCCTGAATCCACCTGTCTGTTACACAGATCTAGTAGTCTATCGGTCAGCTTGATAGCATCCTACAGTAGGTGATCAGGATTTTAAAAATGCAAGAAAGGGAGAAATGATTAAGAGAAACTGAAAGTACCTACAAAATCTTTTGTGACAATTCATCTTTTACAATAATTTTTTGTTGCTTACCTTGAAAAAAGAAGAGAACAGACATTCTCAACCATGTTTCTTCAGTAGTACTTTCCATTAGACATTTGTGTATCTCTTGCCAAAATTTGCAAACATTTTATACCTACACATTATAGAATTTCAACAAGTAGAACAACTTCAACACATTTATGATGTTTCATTTGTCATATGAATGGCTTGTTTCATGCAAAGCAATCAAATATGTATGTACACGTAAATGGTCGTCTTTTCAACAATCTCAATGGCAAAGAAAATATAGTGTACTTTTACAAATATTTATTTTGTTAACTTATTTATGATGAGCTGAAAACATAATATGGACAAAATAAATCACATTGAAATCGACCTAATCATCACTGTTGTGAACATTACCTCTACGTTCTACTGCTGAAAACCAACCTATTTTGGGGGATATATTTCATAATAGAATAACAACTTTACTTACATGGATGAATTTTTGCAGCTTCTTATCCAGCGCCTTTGCCCGACTGAAGATTTCAGCACATCTTCTTTGCCTCATTTGATATGAACTCTGCAAATAACAAACAGGAATTTCAAAAAATTCACTTGCCAAATACAAAATGTTAGCTTTTTAATCTCAAGTAAAACCTTAGAATAATTATCAAAATTTGAAACAAACTGCGATCAATGTAGATTACCATGCTCATCCAATAACTAAGTAATCTAAGCTTTTAATTATGTTAGTAATGACCGTGAAGTAAAACAAACATTTACAAACAGGAGCAGTGGCAAGTGACCGAGAATTGACTTACTTTCTTGAGAATCAGTGCTCAATACTAAACCCAGATATAAATTTTTATGAAATATCAACCGATTTTTAAGTAACATGAGATACACTATCACTTTCTCTCCCTAACTTGAACTTAAGTTTGAGAAGTAGACTATGATTACCTTAGAGACAGCCATTGACATCCACACAGCTTGCTGTGGGAATGCCACAAGAACCCTAGCGATGATCTCCTGTAACAAAGATTTAATTCACAACAAACCATACATGAACATGTATAAAACAATTTAAAGACAACACTCCCTCCAGTCTAATCCAATCATTCATGTTGCATGAAGAATACAATATATTAGGTATAGATTGACATTAATACCCCCCCCCCCCCCCCCACAAAAAAAGAAAATGGGTGAAACAGTGATAATTCAGTACATTTAACATAATTCTCATATAAGAGCCTACTTATCCTAAACTGTGTCCAATTTGTCAAATAAAGTTGAACAATGGACATGCCATACAAACAAATTTATGGCTGATAGACATCTGTGAAAACAACAATTATCACATTTAACTGTATACATCTTAATAGTAAATCCCCAACGTAATAGTCTATGTAAATATGTACGGGCAGTGTTGTACATATAAGTGCAGACAAGCCAATATTTTCTACCTAACCAGACTACATCGCCTTACCTGTAGCTGAAGGGAAACTTCTTTGTGTGAGTGACAGATCCTGGAGATGAGTTGAGAGAAGGATGTCAGAAACTGGTATGGGGCTAGCTTATCTGTGAATTCAGCAATGATCTGCAAAGAAAATAATATGAAAGACAAGTTGAGAAAAGGATGTCAGAAACTGGTATGGGGCTAGTTTATCTGTGAACTCAGCGATGATCTGCAAAGAAGATAATATGAAAGACAAGTTGAGAGAAGGATGTCAGTAGGAACTGAAGTGTGTTGATGAAGATGTACATGCAGATGTAGTCAAGGCATGTGAAAACATGAATCAATTTGTATCTTTCTCCCGGATACATGACACATTCAGGAGGTATTGTGGTATAGTGGTTCGAGTCCAAGGGTTAAGGGTTTGCATCCCAGCTCAGTACTAATGTCCTTTGGCAAGACATTAATCCGTACTTGCCACTCTCCACCCAGGTGCCAGATGGGTACCCGGTAGGATGCAAAAGTCACTGTAGCTTGCTCAGCAATGTGAGTGTCTGTTAAATGGCGTATGGCTGGAATGCTTCCCAGGGAGTGGAGAATGTGCATACACTGCCTGTGGGTAAGCCTGAATCCGATGATGAGGGTTAGTTAATATAAATTTGATAGCGTTTAGAGACATCATCTAAGTATTAAGTGCTATATGAAACCAGAATATTATTATTATCATCATCTATTCTTCGATGACAACATAATACAGTCAAACCTGCTTTAGTGACCACCTGTCTACAAAGACCACATTAATTTGTTTCCCTTGAAAACGGTTTCTCATTAAAACGTGAACTAAAGGAACCTGTCTACAAAGATATCTTTTTGTGTTTCCCTTGGGTGGTTGCTATAGACAGGTTTGACTGCACTTACCTTATGGAGCTTAGCCATGACCTGTGCAGCCTTGTTGACCTTGTTGCCTTTCTCTAGGTCTGAGACGTGAGCACCGTAGTCTAACCAGAGAGTGAGTAGGCGTGGCATAGACTGGTAGATGTACTGGTTACCATACATCAGAGATTGACCAAAGTTCTTCACGACGTGTACAACAAACTCTCTGAAAGTTGAGGGAAAATATGAAAAATCATATTATAGAAAAAAGAAGAAAAAATTATTTTAAAATAAAAACCACAATGGGAATGAGTAGGCATGGCAAAAACTAATAATATAGATGTACTGGTTAACACACATCAAAGACTGACCAAAGTTTTTCAGGACGTGTACTACAAACTCTCTGAAAGTTGAAGCGAGGGAAATGTGGGGAAATTAATCAAACTTCTGGGAAGTGGCATGTTTAAACAAAAATGGAAAGCTGCTACACCATCAGATTGTCTGATACATGCTCCTGCAACAGTTGCACTGTCATCTACTTCAATTATTTATGTCTTATTTGCAAATTCCATGACCTTAACCCTAACCCTGGATCCGTGACTATACCTAAACCTTAATCCAAACCTAAAACAAAATCACTCCCGAATCCTTATCCTACATCTTTCATGAAAAAAATCTTTAGGGAATTGTGAGTTCACTTATATACATGTACTTCCTCTCTAAGAACACAAGGTAAGCTTAAAACCGACTGACTATTTCCACAGTCGCAAACAATCTTATGAGACCTACCCAGCCTTCTCTGGTCTATCAGCAAAGCTGAGCATGAGCCGGTCATAGTACTTGGCCAGATAGAAGTGACCATCCTCCCATTCTGAGTTGACCTCAGTGACCGACATGTATTGTTTCATCACAGAGTTACTCTCAAACTTGGCTGTGTCCTCCATGAAACGTCCTACAAGAAGCAAGGCCTTAAAACAAAAGACAAAATTGAAATAAATCAAAAATGATAGTAGGAAAACATGTAATTAACAAAACTTTCACATTCAATTTCCATCAAAAGGGGTGTAATGAAAACAACTGCTTATTGTAGCTCCTCTTGATTATACTGTCTGCTTTTTGTTGTTTAAAAAAATCAATTTAACTTGTGCTATCTGGTTGGATATTAATTAAAGTGAGGGATTTTAATGACATACATGTAATATGCCATTATTTCCCTTTCCCCCTACATATTTCATCAATTCCTGAAGCCTTTGAATTACCTTAATTTCATTACCTCAACAGCAGCAATCATTCTATGGTGTTATAAAATCATTTCAAAACAAATGAGAATAGATCATACACAATCAATATATTCAATCTTGAGGTTCCGTAAAGATTTACTATATATCTACTATTCAAATAAAATTAATTAACACAAAACATACTAATTACCTTTGCATGGGCTAGTCTCTGTGCTTTTGCCTCGGCGGACTTGTCATTCTGTAGACGGTTGCCCTTGGAGAAGTGTTTGGCCACGCCCTTCTGCAAGTCGATCAATGCTTGATGACAATCACCCTGTACAGAAAGAGATGTTTTACATATTACAGAAACCGCTGAGTTGCATAATGATATATATTAAAACTGGTGACAAGGTAAGTCATGACAACAGTGACAAGTTAACCCATTACAGCAGGACTGCACTACTTGTATCTACTAGCGCCCTCTGTATAGCAAACAATGCCTCAGTATCCGTTGGTTCCCCATGATCCCCTTTTTCTGACGTTAATTGAGAGCTGATTTGATTAGATAACCACCCGTCAGTGACCATGCAGGGTGGTATAATCCCTCCTTTTTTTAAAGTTTTTAAAAAAACTAATATCTGATCAACGGTGGAAGAAAACAAGATATTATTTACCTTCCCCCAGAGCCATTTTGCTTTCTCGATGCAGAGATCTGGTAAGGAGTAGAGACCAGCATTGAGTAGAGAGCTATAGGCACCCTGAAGATGGCCAGCCCTGTGAAGAAAAAATTAACAAATTTATTTTCATAAAGTAGAGTCATGCATTTATATCCATTGAATCCATTTATCACTTCCTTAGCTTCTTACCTGGACAACTTTCAATGAAATTAAGTAAGTGCATTGACATGTAATGGCGGTAATAATATTTCTGAAATACAATTTCATATTAGTTTATTTCAAATATACATCTACATGTATGTCTGCATGGAAACTATTCATTTTAAATCAGACAAACAAATGAACTAATAAGTGAATGTACCTATTTATACATATATTTACAATGAAAAAGCTAAAGTAGATGAACATTTACACTGATAACTAAACAAACTGTAGTACGGTACACATCAATTATTAGAAAAAGAAATTATCAAATAAACTACTCATAAAACTCACTTTCTTGCAACTTTGGCACTCTTCAGCCAGCAGTAACCAATGTCCTTGTTGAGCCCTGTTCCCTCGGAGTTGATAGGACTGAAAGAAACCATTACATTTATTTCAAATTCGAACTCACTGGCAGCGATGGTTTAGTGTTTCAAGGGCCCTGTCTTATAAACAGTTGCGACTAACCGCAACTTATTTGTGATTAATATCAATCGCAAATATGTACATAAGAGATAGAGAAATGCAAACTTGTAATTGATATAGATCGATCGCATCTCTTTAAAAGACAGGGCCTAAAAATTCAAGCTATACTACCTTTCTATAAGCTTTTGATTGTCTGCATTTGACTTCTAATTCATGCAGTAGCAAAGATAAAAACACAAACAAATATTACTCATTGCATCAAAATATTTACCTTCAATACTTATACTTTTAATTTCAATAGGGAAATTCCACTAGCTTCATAATAAGCATAGGCATCTTAGAACTACACATCAGTTTCTATTTGATATTTCAAACATTATTAAAATATTTGACACAACTATTTTTTTTAAACATCATCTCAGCTGATTTTTAAACTTTGTTCTGCATGAAATATTGAGACAAACAATAGTTTTTCTAAATTTACACAGATGCATTTTGTAAGAATGTGTCTTACTTGTTGTTGAGACCCAGTATACTCCTTCGTAGACACAGCATTGGTTCTTGTGTTCTGAATGAGGATTGAGCCATGGTTTGCCTAGCATCCCACCACTCCATCAACTCGGCTTGTGATTGGTTCTTACTGTCACCCCCAGCAGAGAAACCTAGGAGGTTGGTGACCCCTAGATCCAGGTCACAGAGCATGTGCAGTCTGCAACATGAGGCATACAATAAAGAGGGGATTATTATGGAAGGGTTGCTACATCTATGTTCAACTAACTCCATCCTCACACCCTTCTAAAAGATTGTCTGTTAAAAGCCAGAAGGAGCTTATACTTCTGGCTCTCTGCAAAAGGGTCTGTATTTGCTCAAAGAGCAATTGCCACTTGCATCAAAGATATATGGTTAGGGTTTGAGCTTCTATTGGGTTTTATCTCCCATCCTCACACCCTTCTAAAAGATTGTCTGTCAAAAGCCAGAAGGAGCTTAAAATTTATGTCAAGGTACTTGAGTTGAACACCCTTCCGGCTCTCTGAAAAAGGGTCTGCATTTGCTCTAGGAGCAATTGCTACTTGCATCAAGATATATGGTTAGGGTTAGAGTCTCCATTGGGTATTGGCTCAGGTTTAAGGTTAGGATAAAGGTTAGTCTAATTTTGGTATATGGGTTGGGTAGGGAAGTGTAAAAAAATTCAACTGCATAGCAATTTTTTGCTGGAGCATGTGTCCTACAAGCCTCAGCAGATCAAACAATGATCATTTCTGAGCAATAAGGACATAAGTTGCAGAATCTAAATATGAACATTAATATGAAAATTATAGAATGATTAAGATATATATCTTTGGAGAAAGGGGTTTTCATACAGATCCTACCTTGCTATGTATTCATAGGCTCTTTGATAAGAGCCTTTCTCCATGCTTGCAGCTGAGAGTGGTCCCATCTGAGCACTTCTGGCTAACTGCAACTGAGTTTGAAACTCGTCCTGGTTCTGAGTAAGTCAAATATATCAATAAAATATCCAGCACACTGATTACAATGCATAACAAATGATACCTGTAGGTACATGTATATAAAAGTTGTACCAGTTCCATAAGTTACAAATCAATCCGGTGTCACAAGCAAAAATCTCTGGCTGCGTCAGATGTCCAAATAAAAACATGAATATATGTTTGAGTGTCATAACATCAGATCGTTGAATCATTTTTGTTTTACACTGTATCCTCTTGTCTTTTTTATTTTTAGAAATGATCAAAAAAGAAAATCTGAAGTGAGTCTGGGGAATGAGACTACATGTGAATATGCTGGAGATCTGACACGGCCGGAGATTCTCGTCTGTGACACCAGATGTATAAGAAAATGAAATTTCTTTTAACATGGCAGACTAAAAAAATTACAATATATTTTTATTTAAAATGTTATCAAACTTTCTTTAAATTTTTGACAGGTAAACTCTCTCATTTTCACTGGCATAATACTTAATCACTCTGTTCATGTAGGCAATAAGGTGAATTAGTTGGACACTGTAAGAAATGGTTACATACCCCTTCTCTTACAGCAAGCAATGTCTTGCCGAGGAGGATGTTCCAATCACTGTTATGTCCTTCATGTTTAAGGTTGGATTCTAGATCATCCCATTTAGCGAGCTTCCAGCATGCTTCTACTCGATAGGAATTCAGTTGGCTTGACCAGTCTGATCTGCAGTAGAGAGGGATGAACAGAATGTCTGTAAATATTCTTCTCTATACCAACATTGAGTTTCCAGAACTACTTTAATAAATAGAGGGAAAAACAAGATTTCATGTTCTAAATTAGGATTAGTATCGTAGAATATTGTATCCCTATAAATATATATCATTACGTCAAACAATGTTTTTTTTGTTTAATTATGAAGAAATATTGATTGTAAAAGCCAGTCACCAACCGCAATTTCTGAACTTGTTGGTATTTTGATAAAGAGGCAATCATGGTCTATTACATTATCAGAACACAACCTCTTGAGTAAGCTATTTTCTAGAGGAAACATGAATGACACGTTCCCGTTCCTAGGTCACCCTCTTTTTTTCAAGTCCTTTCTTCCTTACATCCTTTCAATTTCTCTTCACCTCATGCAAGCTTGATAATTCAGAATTTTTTTAATTATCTACACAATGTATTCCCTCTGACATCATTATTAATGTGACCGTCACTCATACCTTTGAGAGAGTACCCCATTGACATGAACCAATCCTGTGTTGAGCTGACCAAGGTCCAGCAGACATCTGACCAGTCCTTTATGATGACCCATCTCTCCTGTCTCTAGCTGAGTGGCTCTCTCATAGCAAGCCACTGCATCCTGGAGGTTACCTGAATATTAAGATGGATCAATGATTTGAAGGAATTCATCAAGTTAAATACACCAGTCTAACCTGTCTTAGTGGCCACCTCTCTACATAGGCCACCCGTCTATAGTGGCCATGTAATTTGTCAACCTTGAGAAGAAATGTGTGTTTTGTTGAACTTGTCTAGAAAGGCCATCTCCACAGTGGTGTCTTTTTCTGTTTCCCTTGGATGACCTTAATAGACATGATTGACTTCACTACTTTCATGATTTTATGCCTCTGATTATTTTTTAATCTAAAAAAAAATCATAACATCGTTAATTTTTTGTAAGTTGAATCTGAATAATCTAAAAAAACGTGGCAATAAGACTGAAATATAGACACACAGATGATTTTTCTGTTTAATCTTATAATGTAGTTCACAAAGAAATAAACCTCTGGACTGCCATATAGAGCAAAACACTTGTCACATTGTGACATTGAACTAATTAATGCTGTTATCAAGAAACCATAGTTAAGAACGGTAAGCCATTTTAAGAGTATACATGTATCTCTTGATATTTCAGATGCATCACCATCACACGACTTGAATGAATTTTGAATGTGCAGCCTGATAAAACCATACCTGTGCTTTCATGATCATGGATCTGTTCCCTGAAGCTAGGTTCTTGTAGTCTGATAGCAGACACCCCTAACACACCATCAGGCTCATCCATGGCTATGTACAGTTTCTAGATGAAGGAGTAACATCAAATAGGACAGTTAGAATCTTCCATTTTTATCAGTAACTATCTACAAAAACCCTAAATACAGACATTGACACCAAAAGCTGGCATTTATTCTTCTTCAGTCTGCAGAAAAATGTTGAAAGTCTATCTGAAAGGCTTGGTATTTAACAGACATCGCTACCACTGCTGTAATGTATTTTCAATTGACATATTTGTGGCATCTATTGGTGAAAGTGTACATAGAGCAATTTTATAGTTCCTGTACCCAGGATATCATCACAAGCGCGTAATCCAGTTGGTGATGCGTTGTGGGACATGGCTGTCGACACATCAGTACATTGTGAGGAGCAGGTCATAGTATACATAAATCTGGAGTAGTGTCAGTAGCAGAGATGCCAACTTTTGGAAATCAGAAATAGGGAGGATTTGTAATCGACACCAATTAATGTGCGCGTAGCGCACATCTCGAGCGCGTAGCGCACATCTCGAGCGCGTAGCGCCCGACACATGCGGCCGGGGTCCAGGGCCCGCCTTAGGGCCCTGGAAGCTCTGGGGTTCTAGATGCTCTCTGGTGCAATCTGAGCCTTATTTTGGAGCATTTTACATGTGTATTTAGTTAAATAATTCCCCCTTTTTTTTTAAATAACATAAAAATTGTACAAAATGCATGATGAATTACTTTCAGACTTCCGATTACACAGGTACTTGATACTGTATTCGGTCTTATACTTCCGAGACCATTTCCTGGTCTTATTTTGCTGATTTTCCGCCATTTGGATTCTGTGGCAATATCCACGCATTGGTTACGGCGATCCATATGCTGAAACAATCTTTCGCTACTCTTAATTTGTCTTTTAACATAGTGGAATTATTACATGCTTAAGTTAGCAGATGATATTTCTCTTTCAATTCACAGATATATATACTGATAAGCGCCCTCCAAAAAAAATCATAATAAAAAAAAAAAAAAAAAAAAAAAAAAAAAAAAAAAAAAAAAATCATTTTTTTTTTTTTTTTTTTTTTAATAAATCGGGAGGATAAGGATGGTGATCGTAAGGTCGGGAGTTGGGGTGAATTATCGGGAGCCTCCCGATAAAATCGGGAGGGTTGGCATCTCTGCAGTAGAATACACTGCTTTTATTTTAATTTTTTTTTTTTTTTGATAAAGAGAGGAAGCAACTGATGAAGGTCACATGTATGTCACACTAGTTCAAGCTTGATAACATACATGTATAATACATTTATCTTAGAAAATATCGAAGTTTTTGAAGCACATATACTTAACCCACTGAATTTGATTTTGGTATGACACATGAATTTGTACTCTGAATATTCTCTGGCTTGGTATTCAGTCGGATAACTAAATGAACAATAGTCTGTAATTCATATCTCAACTCAATCAAATGACTCGCTATTAGCAGTTGAATCCTCAGAGGGAGGGGGGGGGAGGGGGTAATGCATACCTGCAGGAAACCCAGATGGTTCTGCACATCTTGATTGTTTGACGTTATGTACGACTCAAAGTGCATGAGAGATCTGGCATAGGCTCGGCAGTTAAAGGAGGCTCTCGCTAGGATGTCCTGCGGAATCTCTTGAAGGAAAACCTTCACACACTCAAGGTATCTCTCTACAGAGGCTAATTCACCTACAATGTGTAAGGAAAATCAAAGACCATTGTATTTATATGTTAAATAATATTTGCCATACAAAACAGTAGGGAAAATGGATATATGCCATTAAAAACAGCAGAAAAGCATAGATATGGATTTGATATATTGCTGGAATTAACAATTAAGCAGCAGAGATTTATATTTGGTTCTACTGATTCAGGGACTTAGATTTTCTGAATCATTTTTGGGAAAAATCTTAATACTGAAAGAACACTTATCAAAATATTTCTACAAAAAAAATCTTGTGAAAGCCGGGGTAATAATATATCTGTAAAGCGCTAAGGCACATCGTATTGTATTGAGCGCTATATAAACACAGAATATTATTGTTATGATTATTTACATATCGTTACTTGAGACCCTTTCCATGGGTGAATTGATAAGGAAGGCTTACTCGAGTTGCTTGCCCCACGCCTACTCTTTGCAGCCTGTAGGATCTGCATGCGTTGTCTCTTCCAGTTAGTCAGGTGATCTAGAACGGAGAAGACCGTCTGAGCGCTCATGGGGCGATCTTCACTGGATCGCTGGTCTTCTACTTTCTCTGCGTGGGTCAGTACAGCTAAAATCTCATTCTGAATCTGGAATTCAAGAGATTTGATGCTGATGTTTCAGTTCACTGTTACAGGCAAAGTCCTCTTAACAATAACAATGTATAGTACTTAATATAAATTTGTATTGTCATGTCAAGTCATGTATAATCTTCATATATTGTCCCAGCTCTACCTAAAGTAAAGTATATGCTTATATGATTTCATCTCAATTGCTCTGCATAACCATAGTTTCATACAGGACAGGAAGATACAATCGAAGATCAAATACGCAGGGTCAGACAAATGTGCATATCATTCACTGAAGCAACAAATAAATCATGTCAAAAAATTTGATATATATTTAACTGACCCATTGGCTACAGGAGCCAGAGGACTGTGAAGAAGAGAATTCAACAGTCGAAAGGCTAATGGCTGACTGTAAAAGTAATAGATAAAATGTTAAATTATGAATACGATCTACAAGTAGATGTTTGACCAATGAATGCTTCAAACGGATGCAAAAATTACTGTAGAAACACTATGAGTTTCAAACCTCTTGCTTGTCATCATCATTTGAGTCGAGTAGTGCATAGAGTAGTGTGTAGGGAAGTAGGAACATAGCTGTATGGATGTCATGCTTGATGATCATACTGCATGCTCGGAAGATACGACCAGGTTTGCTGGCTTTAACCTTGGGACATAAACAGGAAAAACAACATTTCTTGAAATTCAGAGGAATGGTTACATTGACAAGCCCAACATCTGGCCGACAAATATATGGCATTACACTGAATGGCCAAAAGTTGGATGGTTTAGAGTTGCTTGGCAGTGTGACTGAATTCTAACTTTAAAATATTTTCTACAATCGTAAAAACTCTTAAACATTAGAGATTGATAGCTGTGCCAAAATAGTATACATAATAACATTGTTAAATTATTAGTACAGAATATTAATCTCTACAGTATCAAATGTCATAACATTTAGTTCTTTCTTTTCATAAAAGACACTCAGAAAATTTCTTAAACGTTAAAGGACATATTTACGTTGTGTATACATTTGAAATGATAGATGGTTTAAAAGAAAGTGATAGTTTCTGACTCACCAAAAGGTTTTTAAAAATTGTATGTACTGTTCTTGAGAATTTTTTAAAATGTAAGCAAATATGCTCCTGACACATTTGAACTCAATCATCTACCATTATCAAAGAATAACAAAATACCAAAGAATTTCAATAACCAGGCAAATTCATCAGAGCTTTATCCTTCAATAATCAAACCATGTTTCTTTTACCTTTGTGACTAAGTAACTGGTCCAGGTACAGACCCAGTCTTTGAAGGTCTTAGCCTTCTTACTGCGGTAGATAGGATGAACAGTCACTTTGCTGATAGCTGAAGCTGCAGAAGGAATGTACTTGGTGTTTTGGAGGGGGGATAAGATCTCCTGGATGTGTTCAGGGAATCGCTGCCAGAGTTGCCGGCCAGGTCTAGAGAAAAAGATAAATGTTAACAGTTTCTTCTTGATAACTGGGTTGTTTGGTCATTAGGGTCATCATCGAGCCGTCCTAATAAATTTATAAGTCTTCTCCTTCTGATTAAGTCTGCCTCCTTCAATTTACTGAAGATTCTGTTGTGTTAACCGCAATTTACGTCCATCAAGTGCTATTTACGTTAGAATACAGTTTATTTACAAATATTTACAAGCTCATGTACAGGATGGAGGAAGGCTAGCCACTGTCACCAACCGTCTGCAGTCGATTACGGAAGGCTCCAACAGATGGCGCTGCATCTAATTGCTCAAGGGTGGAATTGATCATTCCTTCTTATCTGAAAAGCTGTAACGCAAAGCTTATCAAGACCCTCTATGAGGTTCTTCTGCACAAAAGTGGCTGGTGACCATGCTTGTTCTTTATATTATAGTGACGTTGATTGAACCTTGGCAAATATGTCCATGTACATGTTTGCTACAACACTGTGCAGAGCAATACAATGCACATCTATCTATTGGGCTAATCCTTGATCACCGACTGAATAAAAAAACACTTTAGAATCAAAAGAACCTCAAAACCACTAAAAGATTATCGAATTTATCGGTGTGGCCAGAAAAAGTTATAGAACTATACAGAATCAGTCAACAAACATGAGCTACTGCCCCCTGCCATGCTGTCACAGCATCAACTGTGACTATATGTCAACACAGTAGCATCTGTCATTTAGCACCCACGCTAGTCTGAAAGATGTCTCAGAGAAGCAAAAGCTCATCTAATAGGTAACTTCACTGATCATGCACCAACAAAATAATCATTTAATTTTCCTAAAACTCATTTCACTAGAGACAAAAAGAAAAAATGAAAGACTAACCCATCTTTGCTGACACCCCTGCACTCAAATATCTGGAGCATTTCCTGAATGGCATATGCAGAGCAGTCCTGTGACCTGGGATCAGCTGCAGCTAGGAATGCTCTGACAAGGTCATTGATCAGGTCAAATGCAAAGTGCATGTCCTCAACACTAGCCTGTATGTCGGAGAGAGACAGAGAGAGAGTGAGAGACAGAGAGAGAGAAGGGGGGGGGAGAGGGGGGGGAGGGGGAGGGGGTGGAGAGGGTACAAAGCACAAAACCATGAAAATGTCAGCTCAGAAGTTAGAGTATGACTTTTTTTTTTAAAGCTAGACATTTATTCTGAACAAACCACATAATGAAGCACAAGATTCAGCATCATGCAAACCCAGGATTACTGTCTTTCTCTGTGTGTGAAAACAATATAGCTTATAGTTTCAATGCTTTAATTTTTTTTTACAACAAAGACTGTTGTTTTCTTCTCTTATCCCATTAATTGTATTTCATTCCTCCTAAGTTTCCCTTTCCCCAGTTTCTTTTTTTTGTTTGCTATCTGCAGCTGTAACATTGCTAATCCCTGAAATAAATCTGACAAGCAACTGATGTACTTACATGAAACTTGGACATTTCAGCTTTCTTAGACGTGGTGCTCAAATCTAGCCTGCCAGGGTCTATTGCTCCCAGCACACCCAGGCATACACCAAACAGGTTCTTGGCTTTATGATCAGAATCATGACATCCAGATAGGAGCTACAGGAAGGAATCAATGGTATACTGAATGGCCAGATGGGGGTCGCAAGAATATATGATACTACAGATAAGTCTTTCAGACAGTTATTACAGGTAGCTAATGGCACACCCAGGCATTCACCAACAGGTTCTAATAAGGGTTCTCTAAAAGTGTAGATAATTTCCTCTGAAAACATTGAATATCACTTCAGTCAAATAGCACAATGTTATTATTTGATTAGGTTTGTCTTCTTTAATAGCAAAGAACAAATAACCAAGGAATACTGATTTTTCTGTTAACATACATCCCCATTTAGAATTTGCAACCGAAATAGGCCTACCGGTACTTTTCTTTGACAATGTGCTGAATGTAAAATGTACTACGAGTATGCATTATCATATGCAAATAAAATCACTGAATGATAGTTCAACTTACCACTGAAACGAGCTCATTTATGACTGGTGCCACTGTCTCACTGCCCATTACATACTCATGAAGACAACTCTGAAAAGAGAATAAAAAATGAATCTTCAAAGTTTACCCTGCACCCTTACATGTATATCTCCTGGTACATCTTAAATCACGTAATGAATTCCTATTACTGTAATAATTTGAAATACTATCTCCTAACCTTTTTCAAAACATATTTATTTGTACATTCCTCTTGTGGATAATACAAAATGCTTGATAATAAGACCCCCCCCCCCCCTCTTTCCACTTATTCTGCAAGCATATAATCAAGTCTACTGTTTTTGTTTTTTGTTTTAATTATCATTTCTTTATTGCAACCAAAACTGGAGGTTGGATTTTATAGAGAAATAAAAATACAAACAGATAGAAAACAATGGTAGAAATAATGTACACAAAGTCAAAGAAACTGCTTATTCTGATTCATAAATATGTGAATAACAATGTGCTTCAATAAAATTATTACACATCATAAACAATAACAATAATGGGCATTCATATCATCAACCATGTACCTTTTTTGTAATACAAACTCAAATAAAGGATGCATGTGAGGGTGATTACCTGGTTTGTTTGAAGCAGGTCCCTGAGATTGGAGAGAGCATGGATTCTGACATCCACACTCTCATGACTGACCCCTTTAAGTGACCTCTTCAGCAGGGTTCGAAGGTCAGGTTGGCTGGATGGGTCTTCCCTGTGCTCCTTCAATAGTGCGTTGACCTCTTGTAGCTCGGGAATGTCCGGGAGGAAGTAGATCTCATTGAATCGGTCACTAAATGCATCTCTGAGATGAATCATCAAATGAGAAAAATCATAAATGAACATTGAAGCCAAATAGTCTAATCCTATTCCTTAGGTACTGAGTAAAGTGCACTTTCATTGTAGTTTCCAACTGCAGTACAACATCTCCACAAGCAGGGCATCATTTCATGAAATTGTCATATACCGGTATACAAGTTCACTGGCATCCAATTGAATATCGTCCTATATTGCATACACACGTTCCAAAGGGTTGTCGGCAAACTTGTACTTATGATGGTTTCGTGAAACGCTGCACAGTTGAACATCATACATTTACCAATCCACATTCTCTGGATTATTCATCTTGATGTAGCACATAATGAGAGCTGCTAAATTAGCGTGCTTATACAGGGGTGATAGTGAGCACTAAAAACAAAAATGGGTTTTTTGTTTTCCCCTCAACCACGCCCCCTTTGAGTAAAAAAAAAAAAGAAGAGGATTCGCAGGGAAAAAATGGTATCTAACAACATTCCCCCCTTTCGAGTAAGAAAATTGGGACAAAATTTGGAAAAAACAGGGCAAAATAGGGAAGAATAGAGACAATAAGAGGGAAATCGGGAAAATCAGGATAAAATAGTGAAGAAAAAAAAATCGGGAAAAAATCGGGAAAAATTTAAAAAAATCGGGAAACTGATTTAAATCGGGTTTTTATCAGGCCTGTTATAATATGAAACAAATTGCTATACATATGCAATGGACTAAAAAATAAACAAAATACAAGTTTATACAATATTAAAAGCAATAGGAGCATGGTGAGGTGGGCATGGCGAAATGGTCTTCATTTACATGCTACATTGACGCCAAAGTACAACAAAGTTGATGAACAAAAAAACTCACAAAGAAAATGAGCTCTCTATTAGAGACCCCATTTTCTTTTCAAAAATGATTGCGACTTACCTATTGTCAATGATGAGAGTGTGTATGATAGTACTGACTTGTTGAGGTAGCTGGTTGAGGAGTGGGAGGAGGGTCACGATGACCTGACTCAACATCGGACCAAGGGAGGAGGCATCAACACTGTCAACAAAGAAATTATCCAGCATTTATTAAGGTATTATGAAGGCTCATCATGCAGGAGAGTATTGACAATTAATAGTTAATATAAAAATGTAATTGAATAAAAGTAGACAAATATTAAAGAAAATAAACACAAACAAACAGAGAATTTTTTAAAATTTGGTTTAACATCATTTAACTCATTGACACTGAATTAGTGTTTCCTGTATAAACCCATTGCCATTATACAGAAACTGGTAGCTCCTGTTTAAAGCCTATGGGACTGCGAGAATTCAGTAGTCAATAGGTTCAAATTATTGGGAACAAGGGAATTCAATAGTTATAGGTGACGGGTTTATTCCTACTCAGCAAAAGTAATAAAATGGACACGATCAGTAAAGTAAATCTGTTGAGATCAAGAACACACATAAGATCAGCCTCCTCTTGAACAGATGAAGCAATTGCATCCAAAACTGATCCGAAAACAATTCTGATCAATCCTAGATGTTCCCGATTATAGTTGAAATGTACCCCTTGTACATGTAGTTATCCTCTGTTGGCAGTCTTTCATGAACTCATTATCCTTTATTTGATCTGGAATATCCAATCCAATCCAATCCAGGTATTTATAAAGCACCAATATCTAGTTGCCTAATCAAAGGCGCTGATGAGACTGAACAACTACCAAAAATGTCTGTTTATGAATCTAACTGGGAAAGAAAAAAAAGCAGTGACTAATTGTAAGCAATCTAAAATAGGTACATGTATGTCTTTAGTTGAGTTCTGAAAGTGGATAACTGGTGACAAGAGTGAAGGATTTGGGGAAGACCATTCCACAATCTTGATGCTAGTACGTGAGGACAGAATGTTGACTAACCTGTGCACGAAGCAGTCCCATGCCTTGCAGGAGAGTGCAGGGAATCCATGTTCCTTGTAGCGGAGACCAATCTTCAGTGTAGTCATGACCTTGACTCTCACCCCTGTGATGTGCCTAGGTCCCATCAGCTTCATGATGCATACTAGACTCTCTAATGCCTAGAAATACAAATATTACACATTCTAATGTCATTTATATTTCTCGATATGTGTCAAGTTACGTGTTGGTGTAGCCTTTCAAACCCCATGTAAATGTACAATTTGTGTCATACCTGTGCATTAGCCTGTATCTCCCACCTTTTTGTCACCCTTCTCCAAATTTCTTAACCAACCTTTAAAGTCAGTCTATCTTGTAATTGGAGCAGATTCTTCTTCCTGCTATATCCATTTCAATACTTTGGCACACCAAAAACTAAGTAACACTTCAATGCAGTACACTCCAGAAAAGAGTAATGCCTATGAAAACAGAAAATACTTTCATTGTAATCCAGTAAGTAACGCCCCAGAGTATAGATCAGTGATGCCAGTTAGAATTGATCAGAGGGCCTGAAAAATCACCTAAAATTTGCTATTTTGTACACAAAAAGACCTAAACTATGGCCTGAAAATAAATCGCTAGGGCCTGAATTTAGGCTTTTGCCTGAAAACTGGCATTCCTGATAGATGTACCAAAAACGATTTTCTCTTCCAACTTTTCTCACCAGTTTCTTGTCTTGAATGGGTATCCTACTGTTGAGGAGCTGAGAGTCAAAGAAGGCTAAGATTCCCAGGAGTCTGGGCTGTAGGAAGTCAGCCATGTCTGCTGGGTGTGTGATTGGACGAGGTCCCTTGTAGGCATCATCACGGGATGCTAGCATTGCAAGGCCGCTGAACACCTACAACAGAAAGCACGCGGTTTGTTACAACCATTTGAAATTTGTGAATAGGAATAACCAATGATTGAGTAATGGCCTTAACATTTCAAATGTGGAAAGACATTATGTACTTGTGGAGGTAGATGTTAACCTCTCTCTTGGGAAACTCACACAAGTAATAACACCAGTAGAAACACTTGCTACTATGTAAATGTCTACTCACACTGGAATTCATACCTATATCTATTCAAATTTAACCTCAAGATGTTTCATCTTTTCCTGTTTGAGCCAATGCCAATTCCAAATCTAATTCTGCCTTGACAAAATTGAAGTATTATTGATGAAATAAAAGACACTTCATTTCATTTTTATTATCCACACTCAAGTTTAAAAACATGCAAAATACAAAATATTGCACATGTCACAGATTTGTAGGTAAAAATTCAAGGGTTTCTGTTATCATGAATTTGTCAAAATCCCCCTCAAGACATAATATGATTTTCAGTACTTCCAAAGTGCCAGGTTTTTTTTTTTGTGAAACAAAGTGACATCACTCCAAATCTCACCTGCGAGTAGTTATGGCTGAGATGCAAGAGAAGTTCATTATGAAGACTCTGATAATCCATCCTGAGAAGCCGTCCTAATTCAATCTCAGTCTCACTCTATACATCAAACAATTTAAAATAGAAGCATTAAAACAAGCATAAGTTAAACAATGACAATTACCAAAAACTGGTTTTACAATATATCTTTTTATTCACTGATTACATACTAAAGTTTATCAAGGTAAATGTATTTATAATGAGAGTAAAGAATTAAAGTATTGTTTTTCAGATGTATATGTAATTGTGAAGAAAAGTACTGACAAAATAAAATTATTAACTTTGCAAACGGACAGAAACAGATTTTGAAAGTGACACCCTCCAAAAAATAACTTCTGGGTATACTCATGGAATTTCCTTCAATTTTTTTTTTAGCTGTTTCGGAAAGAAATAAATAAACATATATTTTGGTAGCATTCAAACATAAATGGAATTTCCATTTCATCATTCACAAGTTTAATATTGAAAAATCATCACAAATAATTTTAAAACAACCTTTCAATTTTCTAAAAGAAAAGAATTGAATGACAATACTTGAAGATCGTATCTACCTGAATGTAGTGCAAAGCCTTTTCCAGCTCAGTCTTGCCTTGGGTTCTCACCAAGTAAGAGAAAATGAACTTAAAATTCTCAACCAACATCTCTCTGTGACTCTGTACAAAAAACAAAAAAAACAAAACAAAAAAATCAACCTTTCCTGTGAAACAAAAATTCCATATTCATTTGTATAAACTTGTATCATAAAGAGGATGAAATACACGACACACTTATTTCAAGAAAGAGAGAGAGATTCAAGACATTTCATAATTATAATCATAAAACATACACAGAATACGGAACACAATATGGAATTCCGATGCCAAGAAAGCATTCACAGATTCCCTTTAATATTCCGTCAATTACCAAAACAATAATTTTACAATGTTTATATATAAATATCCTAATTTCGATTTGCAGGCCTGTGCTTATTTTACAAGAGACAAATGCAGAATGTTTCATTTATATGTAGGTTATCACTATTCTGCTTTCCTAGGTGTACTTACTATTTTCAATGTCCTTGCCAGGGCTTTGAGTAGAACACTAGCCTCAGCGCTGGCTTTACTGACAATGTGAGGTAACAGGAACTCCAATGTACGCTGTTTGATTGTGAATGAAAGAGGGATAAGTTACTCGATAAGAAATACTTAATTGACAGAATACTCTACAGTGTATATGCTTGGTTAATTTCTCACATTGTGTGTTTGTTGTATGTCACTGATTAAGGTGAGAAATAATCTTCAATAAGTAAAACCTAATATTTTCCTTTATTGAAATAACCGTAATGTTGGGCAGAACACCACCTTGAGCGATCGTCACCCCACCACAAACACTACCAAAATACATGTACCGTCAAAATAGATGATATTCAATAAAAGAAACAATTCTCCTAACCAATGTAGATTTTATCAGCATTTTATTCATTATTCATACATTGAAATTTGTAATGGAATTAGTCAAGGTAGTATACTGTACATGAACAATATTAAAGGCAGGGTATTCTACTGAAACTAATTCAGATTTACGTAAACTTTCATCTCCTGCTCACAATGTCCCGATGTGTCGACATCCACGTTTCACAATGCATCACCAACTGCATGATGCGTGCGTGATGATGCCAAAAGATTTTGCAATTGAGAATACATTATAGTGGTGTAGCGATGTCAGTAAGATGCCCTGTCTTTAAATATAAAGGATTTTCAGTATTTAAAAAAAGCATTATTAATGTCAAGCAGAACAATTTTTCACTTTTGCAAGTGATTCTTGCATTTCTTCCTTTAACTCACCTCATAGAATGTCTCCAAATCCTTGAATCCGAATGCATTTGAAACCTTTGTGATGGTTTCCAGGCACGGGTCCTTGTCCTGGTCCTGGGTCTCGGACTGGTTCTGAGACCAGGACTGGACCGCATCGTGCATGGCCTCTACCAGGAACTTACACACAGGCTGCTTGAACTGAGACAAGATGGCCGCCATGGTCTGACCCTTGGCTTCAGCTATAGCGTGGAGCTGTGAAAGATGGAAGAAATTGTTCTCATAAATAATCCTTCACAGGGGGTCTGTATTTTAACTATTTTTATTTCTAGGGTTTGCCCGGCATTGAGCTCATATAAATTTCAAAATTTGGGGACCGGAGTTGAATTTAGAAGGCCCATTTGCATTGGACCCTTTTTAGTGTCCCACTCTTTATTAACTCTAAATTACTATTTGAGTAAAAAATACAAACATCTTCCTATTTAAGACATTCATCCAAAGTTTTGGATTCCATCTAGATGTGTCACCGTAAATTTAGAGATAGGGAATATTCTTCTTATATCCAACTGATTTCCTAAAACTGAAATGAAAATATAAATCCTAACTTTGGTCAAATCCATACTCACCTTTACTGCAGTGTCTTTCTGTAACATTCACATGCTCTCTCTCTCTCTCTCTCTCTCTCTCTCTCTCTCTCTCTCTCTCTCTCTCTCTCTCTCCATCTCCTGCACATTTCACTGTGCACACATGATTCTTTAGTTCAAAGGAGATAAAAGTATATCATTTCAAAGACCCGAGTGAAATTCATGCATTGCATTACCTCAATATAAGCAATGGAGTTAACCATCGTGACTGTAGACAGCAAGCTTTCCAACAGACAAATGATGGCTACCATTAGTAACTCTCCCTCTGCAACCCTAAAAAAATGATCAATACAAATGACTCTGTTAGTGTTCATCAAGGGAAGTAAGTGAGCAATACATCAGTTGGCTGATAATGCACTATTTATGTGTCTTGGATAACAATTCTTCTTATAAAGAAGTGTTAAATGTGTTCCCTATAATTGTAAAAAAAATATCCCAATAAACTATTGTTTATCATGATAAATTGTAGAGGTAAAAGATAACAATATTTTCTTCTAAAAGCTCAACACAAGTGTCAGAATCAATGCCCAAGTCCTATATCACAAATGAACATTTATCACATATATGTATATAATTGCAGATGTGCCATAATAATCAACTCCTTCGTTGTGGGCATCAACAGAAAGAAAAAATATATTTAAGGTGCAATTGATTTGGAATAATTGCAACACTGGTCTACAAACAATATTGACCCAAAGGGACATTGGTCACTTACTTGCCCAGCTCTCCTATAGAACTGACCACTGTCTCCTGCAGACGTCCATTCCCTGAAGACTTGCCGGATAGGAAGGCTGACTTGAGCTGGGTGACCACTGCTTGGATATTCAGGTCACTGCACTGGTCACCGTTACCAACCAGATACTTGATGTTACGACTGGGAGTAAGATGTGAGATATAATTGTGGATTACATCATTATAACTGGAATATAAGGATGGAAAAGACCAAGGACTCCGCTTTTATACAGTACAGCTTAGATAATACTGCTTGGATGTTCAGGTCACTGCACTGGTCACCGTTACCAACCAGATACTTGATGTTACGACTGGGTGTAAGATGGGAGATATAATTGTGGATTACATCATTATAAGTGGAATATAAGGATGGAAAAGACCAAGGACTTCGCTTTTATACAGTACAGCTTAGATAATAAAGGGTGTATAGAGTAGTCAGAGAGAACTAGCTAGCACTAACATCAATAATCTCAAGTTAAAATGGTGCTTATTTTTTAGTACAAATGCATAATTATAGTTATAATATCAACCAAGAAGTGTCACTGTTCACAAAAATTTAAAAGAACAAACAAAGCAAATTGTTGTACCTGAATACTTGTCTGACTAGATGATCATCATCAACAGCTAGGGTTAAATAGGCATTGAGTACCCCAGTCACAGCAGAATTGGTGAATTTCAGATCCAAATGTGATAACACCTGCCTCAGACTGTGTATCATACCTAAAATGATGGAAAGTATATATTTTGGCTACTGCATGTGGGAATTTTAAAGACCGACAATGAACAATAAGAAGGCAAACATTTGTAAATCACAGAATTGAAATGAAAGAATAATCCGCAATTCTGATAAAGATATCTGATATACATTTACTATCAAACAATAAACTTTTGCACATTTATGAGTGGTCAAGAGTTGTGAAAGTTCTGTGACATTAACTAACTGAATCACATCAATAATTTTGGCAATTTTGCGAAAGCTTTTGATATATAAGTTTCTGGTTTGATTGGGATGGAGTAATACATGTATACATTTTTTTACTTGTATTTTTATGTCACAAATATTAATCAATACTCAAATGAGCAACAATTACCTAGTTTGGTTTTGACTCCTTTCTGCAACAGCACCACGAATGGAGAGATGATTGAAGCATCTAGAATGGTTGGTTCCGCTGAATGGTGCATCTTGTCTGCTGAGGTTCCCTCTGTGCTTTGGCCTGGGGTACAGGTGGTACACCTGAGTAGCACCGCTCGGTGTAGTGGTGTTTGCTCCCTGTCTAGCTCTCTGCTCAGAAAAGTATGTCCTGATTACTTATTTGAAATATCTTATAAGAGAAACACTTTTTTTATGAATTGAATTGAATTGGTTTGGTTTATTGCAAAATCACATCAAACAAGCAGCTTGCAGGCTGAAAATGTTCAATTTTCAAACAAATTAAAAATATAGAGAGATATAAATATACATGTATTCAAAACTAAAGTACATACATTTTAATGCTTTCTTTACTGTCGTAACTCAGTAAAAAAAGAGATCCAATGTTATTATCAAACTCGAATACTCTCTCTTATATTATTGTACATTACTTGTGTTGATGTAAAAAATACTTCCATGCCACTGTGAACTTCACTTTCATTCAGAAATATAAACAAGCATAACTGTAAAAATATAAATCAATTACTGGAGTAGTCACAATGTTTATGAAAATTCATTATAAAGTATTCTTCCTTGTCTGTCATGTATGATAATAATTTGTCTGCTGAGAGGCAAAAGGGTGTTCAATCATAACCTTTACCACAGCATTAATGCCCTTCTGGCTCTCAACAGATGAATCATAAGGCCTAAAAAATATATATATTGTATTGCCCTTTGCAACCAAACCTAAAAATCTTGAAATCTATGGTCGGCTTTTAGAACAAAAAAAAAAATTACTGTTTTTAAGAGGAAAACAAAATTAAAGCATTCAAAACTGAGAAATATCAGCCCAAAGAGGGAGAAAAAAAAGAAAAAAAGTTATAAAAAAAAGATTTCCGACCGACCGACCCATATTTTGGCACCTAAAGGGCAATACAACATTTTTTTTTTAAGGCCTAATTGCAAATCCTCTTACCTGTGGAGTGTACATCCAGTAGCTAGCACACAACATAGCTCTCCCATTATCTCAGCCAAGCAGCTAGTAACAGACTCAGATTCAGATCTGCATAGGGGGCTTTGGATAGAAAGCAAACATGCATACAGAATATGATGCAAAAATCAATGAATTAAGCTCAAAATTTTGAAATATTTAAAGTGACTCTTTCCTCTAAAGGCTAGAAGAGATAATCCTATAAAAGGTTAAACTTTTGAGAATTGAGATACATCACTTTTCCTCTAAGCAATAGAACAATAAATTCAGAAGGATTTGCACCCTTATTCAATTTGAGACTGATAATAATAATCATAATAATACACAACATTTATTAGGCGCTTAATACAGTTGTTTCTAAGCGCACCATTGTCTGACTGCAAATTACCAACCAAAACTTATAATAAACACACAAATTATAAATCTGTTCTTTATTCAGTAAATCATGCATATATAATAATACAATAAAAATGAGATCAAACATAAGATAAAACAAACAAGGAATAAGATGGTGTGCACCTCCTTTGACCGACTGATAAAAGAACAAGAATATATTTGCAGCATGAATATCGCCCATACTCTATCCAAACTATAATTGTAATCTCAAGCAACTAGCCAACATACTCAGATGTTTGAAAAGAAGGGTACTTACTGCAGGTGTTCTTGAATAAGTGTATAGTAGCTGGGTGTCAAGTTGAAGAGAAGTAGCGGAAGTGCTTGAATAGCTGCTATCTGGATACTCTCCTTACTGCTGGTCTGAAAAGTTAAGGTAAATTCAAGATTTAAAAAAAATGAAATTAACACAATTATCTATCCCCCTTCTCTTCAACATGAGGCTAGATCTAGTTTCAAAGGGCACTTTTATTTCAAATGTTTATTTTTTTTTTTTTTTAATACTTCCTTCATCTTTTCCAAGTGTGAGGAGAAAATATGAAAAATACCATGGTTTTATTAAAATATCTCTTCATTGCTAATTTAGTATTGCAGGCAATTTTTTTTTTAAATCTCAATTTCAAGTCAGTTTAGGAGCTTTCATAATGTCAATGAGTGAACCACTTTTCAAGATATCTAGATGATGGTGAAAAATTACTTTGCAAACAAAAAACAAAAATAAGATGAAATCATATTGACTTTACTGAAAGAAATCTGAGATGAAAAGAGGTCAAAATGATGCCCTAGTTCTATAACTTGTCAATCATTCAACAAACAAGCAAGATATCAATGACCTGCATTCTATAGATGTACATTACAGGAAGGGAACTTCACAAACATGTAATCAACAAGAAAGGCTGGTAAATTCTGCATTACAGTGATGTAAATTACAGGATGGCACTAGAAATACACAATGTAATCAACAAGTGTGGTATCTCAAGAGACAATGGGCTGTTTATTGCAGGAATGTTAATTGGATTTGTTGATGGATGGATAACAAAAGCTTGACCTCCATATTGCTTCAGATCAAAACATATGGGATGATCTAGGTCAAGCAGATGACCCTGATTTCAAACACCAATCTATCTGTTAAAACTAATGGTCATAATATATATTCCACTTGTAGACTTACGATACTACAATATCCACACATTAGTCAGAGTAATATATGACGACATAACTTTAAAAGAAATAATTCTTATACAATGAAGCATACAGTCAAGTAATCAATCTCTTCAAATCTGATTATCTTGATAATCATATACTAAAATTGATGTAGATGAAAGTTCTGTTTGTCTCTGCTCTGTTACAAGCATCGTATCATCAATGATGGGTCAATTTCATATCTAGCACTTTTTCTTGTTTACACTGTTATAAATTATTTGACTAAGCTTACCATCCCATTTGAATTAAATAGTCCATCTCTTCCAAAGGGTTAATTTTAAGTTTTACTACTAATACTTTTTCAATTTAGAAAGGTTTGAATAGCAAAGAAAAATCTAAAGTGAATGAATATACAGGCCTTAAATTAATCGACGGCCATCGACGGCCAGGCCGTCGATGCCCCTATGACTGGCCGCGGTGCCCTCCCAAAAAAAGATATATTCACGGCCAAAAAGGCCGTGCCCTTTTTTTCAAACTGGCCGACGTGCCTTTTTTTCCAACTGGACGTGCCCTTTTTATTTTAAATTTGCGCACATAAAACCACCAATTGCGCCCATAATCATCTAAAACTAGACGGCAAGGCGCAAGTGTTTTCCGTGAAAATGCGCCCATAAATTATTAGAACAGTAAAAATACACGAATCACGAACAGTTTGCCGCCCACGAGCTCTCTTCTAGCTTCGTATTTAGTGCTTTAATAAGGCGCAAGTGCCGTGAAAATGCGCCCTTTGTTATTATATAGGCAATGCGCTAGCGCACGTACGTACGTACGTACGTTCATATTATGCGATCGCATGATATGCATATGGTGCATGCTGTTGACGCACGCACGTACGTACAAATCGAAGGCCAGGATCAAGAAAACAAATCGTCAAATGGAGAAATAAACAAGCATTCAAATAGTCATTAGAGATCTGTCGAGGTTTGTTTGTAGGCCTAGAGAATCTAGTTTATTATTTTATCTCAAATAGAATTTAGAATTATCTTATTAATAAGTTAAGAACACCTACGATGTTCTCGATCGTAGTTACTCTCATTTTGCCACCAGCCGACCTCGCTTCAAAAAGCTACCCCGCCAGCTTCCCAAGACGAACGTTTCGAGTCCCGGTAAAATTCCGAGGGTGCATCGGTTTCGCTGGCAAACTTCCAGCCCGACAGCTTCCCACCAAAAGTGGCGAGAGTGTGTGTGCGAGGAACGATTTTGGTTTCGTGAATGCACGTTACGCAACTGAGCTGAGCGTGTCACTTTCAGCTGTCGAATGTCTATAAGGACATTTTTACATCTTATTTCATTAGTTAGGCCTAGATCTATGTAGACCTTTCTATACAACAGTTAAAAAGATAATTTCTTCAAATTTGCTCCTACTACCGATAGAGTGGCGGAAGGTTTGTGTGTGAGGTGCGATTTTGATTTGGAATACCCGGCCCGGTAAACTTGCCAATTAAGTCCTTCTGACTTTCGATGTTTGTGAAATTGACAATTTATTTATTCATTTGCTCATCAATATTTTTAGTTACTTTAAAATACTGTTTAATGTGCAAGTTTGATGTTCTTAATCAATCTTTCCTGTTCATATTGTTAAGATTAAAAAGTAAATTGATCGTTCGATCTATTCACATTATGAAATTAACATTTGTAGACTCTCTTTGAACTTATGATTAGATAAGCGGCCTATCTGTTTTTGGAAAATTGCCCCTTGCTCTGGTAAATTCCCGTGGCAAAGGGCAACTTAAAAAAAAAATTGCCCCTTGCTCCTGGCTGCTAAATCTAAGGCTTGCGGGCCGCCGCCTTGTTTGCAGGCGCGTAGCCAGAGTTTGGTGTTTGGGGGGGGGGGCACATACATGTAATCGATCGAGGTCAAAAAAAGGGGTCTACAAAATTTCAACCGATCCTGGAAATTTTAGGGGGGGGGGCATGTGCCCCCCGTGCCCCCCCCCCCCCCCCCCCCCCCCCCCCCCCCCCCCCCCCCCCCCCCCGTGGCTACGCGCCTGCTTGTTTGTATGTACCGTAGACCTCTATACATTCTGTGAAGAAGCTGGTGCTAAAAGTCATGGGAAATTGATCCTGCACAAGTTTCATAAAATACACATGACATCTAACAAAAATAGAATCAATTTTTTTGGCCTCATACTCGATGCCCTTTTTGTAAAATATTTTGGCCTCGATGCCCTTTTTGTAAAAATATTTTGGCCTTGGTGCCCTTAAAAATATGAGGTACTCGAGGCCAAACTGGCCTTGCCCTAAAAATGACGAAATTTAAGGCCTGAATATACCATGGCATCCTTGAAGATATGAATCCTCCATTTTGGTGCAACATCCTTTGACAGCATAGCAACAAGATTAAGACACTGCTGCATTGAGGACTCATCTAAAAAAAGAAAATTATGTAATAATCAAAATATATTTCAAATGCTTAATATTCTTAATATCAAAGGGGTAAAATAATCATACAAAAATTAACAATTCTAGATGCCTTGAAATAATGCATTTATTTTATTTTTAAGACTGCACCTTGTCCCATCATTCTACACCCCTGCATGACAAATGATTCACTTTACCACTTGCACATAAATCTATCAATACAACCACCCTCCCCCCCCCCCCCCCAATGTCTACACTTTAGTTGGCTTTTAGCAACAGATCAAATTTTTACGAATAAATTATTAATTGTTTTGTTTTGTTTTTTGTTTTTGTTTTTTGATTTTTGTTTTTTGATTTCTGTTTTTTTAAATTCCTAATACTTGGATTTTCATACATGGATTTCCCAGGTAAAAAGATGTGTTTCATAGATTTTCCAGTGAAATTCATGAAAAAAAATTATAAAGTATAAATAATGCTGATACCTAGCTTTTCTGCCAGTCTATTTCTGAGACCTCCTACTTCCTTCATGGTAGATTTGCCAAACATCTTGAGATCCAGCCAGTTGGCTTCCATCTACATCAAATTAAACAGAGGTCAAATCAATGCACGTGATCAAATCAAGAGTGTATAGTAAGTGTCGTACAAGTCAGTCTAACACTTTGAGGTTCACAATCAATCTCACATTTTGAAATGTTTTGAAAAGCAGGATGGGAAGACATCTCTCACACATCTGGTGACAAAAGGATATATTTTGAGGCTATAGCATATTCATTGTTTCGCTGCTACTCGTATAATAAGTATGTGTATAAAACATTACTTGCATAATTAATGCACTGGCAGTCCAAATTTTGAAAGCACAGCAAAGTGGCAAATTGTACTTACAGGCAGCCAAGGTAAACACAGAATCCATGTAACGGAGTGAAGGAAATCTTGTGGTAGTTTCACGTCACCTACGGAAGAAAAAAAAACAGTAGGGTAAATTATAGTAAAAGATTTCTATTCTGTATTCATCAAAGCTGCTAATAATAAAACACATACCATATACTTGTTTGTTCTGGTTTTACTAGGAGATAGAGAATCCTGCATGGTTTTAATTATCACAACTACAAAACTCTTAGTCATAGAATAATCATGCAAATCAATCTTATGTTCAATGGTCTTTTATGAAACCCAATTACAGCAGAATTCTCGCTCAGCGCATCAAAGTTTAAATTCAAGGAGATTTCTATTTGAACTGCATAATTTTTGCAACTTCAGAAGCCTTTTTCCATAGAGGGCTATCATACTTTTAACATGAATGAAAAACAAAACAAGTACAGAATGCTGATGACGCTTCTTACCAGTCAGAGAAAGCACAGCAGCGATACTGCAACAGATACACTGGTAGGAAGACTGGACTAGACGATTGACCGCATCACCCTCATCCTTCCCATCACCATCTCCTCCCATCTTCTTCCCACCAGCACCAGCTTGCCCCGCCCCAGCCAAAAGCTGCAAGGTCCTCAACCACAGATCACACATCTTCTCCAACTGCTCCGAACTAATCCACATCGACAAGGTATTCCTGGAAGAGACTCCATCTCCTATTCCTCCTCCTCTTTCTCCATCACTCCTTCGTTCTCCTCCTCTGGGTGCTTTCCTCAAAGAGTGGGTCTTGGGGCTGGTGGTGCTGCTGTCCTTGATGTTGGTGAGGTTTCCGAAGTCCTCACCAAATCTGCAGCAGCTTCTCGTAATGACTTCCATGAGGCTTCTGGTAGCCTCCAGGACATGGTACAAGCTCTGCAGAGCACATGGGTAGAATTTGAATGACTTTACTGCATTTCAGTTTCTCAATACCTCAGCACGCTCATGACAGTAATTATACTTACCTATAGAATTTAACTAAGATATACAGCATACTAATTAATCAGGAGTTACCTTTGCTTTGAATGTACAATTCAAATATACATATCAAAATGGTCTAAATGAAAGAATATACATCACATTAAATCATTGTTGTAAAGCATTATTAAACTGAATTATATAAAACAGATACATCATTGTAGCAAATATAGATACTATTAATTATCTTGAGTAAACATTTTCTTTTGGCTCTCAAAGAAAATGTTTTAAAATTATGAATGAAGGAAAGAAAAAAATAGCAGTTTAAGAAATAAACTTTACTACCTTGTTATCAGTGGTTTGTATCTGACAGAGTGAATCCAATTTGTACAGAACATCTTGAAGGGTGCAAGACTTCTCAAACATAGGACTACATGTATCACCTTCAACAGCATCATCGTTAGGATCTCTGTGTGGGTTTTATCAATTTAAGCGGAGAAACAAGATAACGAAATCAGGATAATTCCTTGGCTTTTCATACGGCACTCATCACAAGGCTAATGAGATGACATTCAAAAGGTTGAATTTCCATACAGTTTCAATGGAAATTAGTGTTATTTACATGGTATAGTTACATGCAGATGAAGAAAAGCATGTACATCCCCCCCCCCCCCCCCCAGCGCTCTAGAGCTTTTAGAGTTTTGTTCAGAATGCACATTTATCACAAATAATCCCAACAATTAAATAACCACAAATCAAACTTTGAACAACAAAAAATGAAGTCTGAAAAGGAATAAGAGACAAAGGAGAACCATTGAAGAAGAAAAAGAAGCAAATCTGTGAGCCATTACCTAATGGTTGTATGTCCAATGGAAGACTTTCTCCTGGAAAGCTTATTCCTTTTCACCAACTCCGGTACTTCTTCCCCACTGCTGGTATCAGTAAGGTCAATCACAATGTCTTCAGTGGTACCACCATGGTTACTTCTAATGTTGTGCTCAGAAGAATCTGGCTGCTGGGTGGGAGAACCCTTTGGCAGTGATGCCTGCAGCTCTGAACGGATGGCCAGCTCCAGGGGTAGAACTACACACTGGAATATCACAAAAATACACAGATCAAAATAAATATAACTTGTAGATGAGTGATTTAAAGTATACAATAAAAGAGTGACTTCTAAAAACTGCAGGGATTCAGGAAGCTTTTTTAGGAGATTCCTAAAGATTTGCTCCAAGGCCAGTGCGTTACTTTAAATGGCAAAACAGGAATTGTTAGCAACAGTGAGAAGTAGAGAAAAGACACAGAGGTAATCCCCTGCCTGTACTTTGCTACAAATACCCAACAAATAATCCATACAGCCTTCACTTTGCTTTTGATCTTGTTTTACCTGGAAGAAGGGACTTTGTCAAATATCTTTCAAGGAAACTAACATTATATTAGACTACAGATTAGGATATAAGGATGATTTTTAGAAGGATGAAAAAGCAATTTTGACTCAAGTTCTATCATATTGCCCATACCCCATGTTATACTCCTAAGATTATTATTATGGTCCCTGTATTAAGTCTATGGATAAGAGAGAACTCAGTAGTCAATGAATGGGTTAAGATGTTGTTTTAGTCTTGACCAAAGCACTGCTCATCCAAACTCCAAAAACAAGCTAAAACTTATGCAAACATACTGAGTAAAATGTCTAGCCCAAATGAATAAGCAAAACCCCCAAAGTACAGAGTCTAGTGACTCTCCATTGAATTCTTCTTCTTCTTCTTCTTCTTTTGGATAAACTGCCTCCTTCAATGCTGAAGATTCTTGCAGATGTATGTACTGGGGTGTGCAGGTGGACCACTACATCGGGGTTTCCCCCTACTCTTATACGAATAGTGCAGTGGGTTCTTAACGTGCAAAGGTGCTGACTCTCCTCTACATGGGGCCTCCATTTAAAGTCCTATCCGAGGGACAGAATTGCACATACCTGTCCAGACTGTAGCATGTGTAGCTGCTGGATAAAGGCTTGATTGATAGTCTTCATTCTAGTCTCTCTCACAGACTCCAGAGACTCGTACCCAGGAGGAATATGACGTTGGATGTAGACTACCAGGTGACAGAGAGATGATTTCAGTGATTCTAAAAGAGAAGCAATGATGGATGAAAGATGTTAATGAAGAGACTGGTAATTCAAATATGTAGACTATACATGAAATAATCACAAAAGTATATATTAAAGCCTGTCCATACTAGTTTGGCCAGGGGGGAATTAGACCTCCCTGCAAGGTCACTGACAGGTGGCAGACCTGCCAAACTCTGGAGTTCAAAAACTGTATTCTTTAATCCCAAAAGTTGTATTTTACTGACAAAAGTTGTATTCTTTTAAAAAACACAGACTGTTATGCGGATCAATGCCTCTGACAGTTCCTACATACAGGAAGAATTTTTTTTTTTACAACCAGGAAATGTGTTTTGTGGATGTTCATCACACCAAGGGTTAATTATCATATCATCTGTTGACATCAAACAGTGAATCAATGGAGGAAGAATATTAGCTAATTCATCACACTGCAGTCATATGCATTGGTCAATGAATCTACAAATTGAATGAATATCAAGATGACTAAGGAGATCTCACCTGATTTGATACTATGTAGTCCATATTTAGGAATGTTTTCAGACAGTGTTTCCATGATGATCTCTATGACTGAGGGTGGTAGTGAGTATCTGGGTTTTCCTCCACTCTCTGCAAAGAGCTCCTGGATACAAGCTGACAGATTCTCTTCTAGCTGATCTACATCTCTGGAAAATTGTATTAAAACAATGAAGCAATATCTTAGAATTCACATATCCCACATAACACTGAAAAGGATAATAAATATATTTTGTGTACACAGTCTTACTACGTTATCTCACAAATTTTTCATAATGTAAATTTATGAATTGTCTACAAAAAAGGCATACGCATATGGCCTATATTGTTATAAATATAAGGTGTTGCAATTGATTTCAAACTAGAATTCAGAATGAACCCCAATTTAATTTCTTAAGGCTAAAAGACTAGCCCTAGATCAAAATAGGACCAATCAAATCAAATTCATAACCTGCATCTTGCACATTTTGAGCATATTTATTTGAGGCTACAATTAACTTGTCTAACATATAAATTTAAAGAGCTGTCATTTACAAGCATTTTATGATCTCTCTAATAAATAAACAAACTATTCTTCTTATTTTTAATGAAAGTTGGTAGATACCCTAAATATGAGGATTAATTTTTGTTTTGTATAGTCTTTCTTTGACTTACTTGTAATCTCTGAACAGATCATGCCCTGATTGCAAACAGGTGAGAGTGGTGAACATGAGATCCACTACATGTATATGGTCTATAGACTGTAGAGGAGGTGAATCTACATGGTGGATCAACATTGCAAAGGTTTTTAAGGAGGCCTGTTTCAAGAAAATATAAAGGAAACAATAAGGAGTAAAGAAAAACATATCATGGGAGAGCAAGGTATGATTGGGAAAGAAAATGTGAACAAGCAACAAAACAGGAAGACAGTATCCAATTGAAGAGGAGGGGGAGATGAAGTATGAGTGAAAAGTTATATAAAAATATTCTCAAAATCATAAGTCTATTCACAACAAATGTAACGTGGCATGTGAGATGATCAGTTGAATGTGAACAAGAATAATTACATAACAAATTATTAACCGTATCAGACATCTGAGCAGGGCAATTTTTAAATGGTATTGCCCTCAAGGTTTTGATGGATAAGTCACCAAAATTACAATAAGTTAGTCCGCGCAGAAAAGTCAATGGGATTTTGTGTGTAATTTGGCGGGCAATATAGGTTATATAGAAAACCAATGCGCAAATATTTTACCCCGCTCAGAAGAGTCAATGGGATTTGTGTGTAATTTGGCGGGCAATATAGGTTATACAGTAAGTCAATGGACAAATATTTTAGCCCGCTCTGAAAAGTCAATGGCAAAATGCGTGTTAAACTAGTGCGCAATAATGTAGTGCCAGTTGTAATTTACATCGCGCATCAGCTATTGTAATTTACATCGCGCATCGTGTATTAGAAAATGCGCACTTTGCGCGAACTCCATTGTGACGTAACAATCACACCCTAGGCAAACTGTTTGCAGTGTATCGAAAATCTGTCAAACACTGGATGAACAGTGCTGGTTTGACAATGTTTTTGCAACTTCTAATGCTAGGAAACCCTGTGTAGCCTACATAATTTAAGAGTATAAGATAGTAAGAGTTTCTTGTTTGCTCTAGATGTCTGATGTGGTTAATAATAGTAATATTGACTGCCTAATTCAGGGCAATACGACTTGTCATATATCACCCTCACCTTCGGTTCGGGCGATATATGTCGTATTGCCCAGAAGGCAGTCAATATTACTTAATTATTGACCTCCCAAATGAAATTTATCATGAGGTCAAATTTTTGAGTACATAAAAAAAGCTTTACCTCTTGTCAACAATTTAAGAAAGATCCCCATAACAAAATGGACACAAAAGGATGAATGTCTGCTGTCTTATTAAAATGAAGATCATACCTGTTTGATTTCTAGCTGTCCTGTTTCAAGTTGCCATGCTAATGTAGTCCAGAGTAGGAGCATGTTGTTTGATAGGAATGGTTCCACATCAGTAGCCATCTCACACAGGATGTCACTAAATAAAGCAAATTAATTATTTGTTTAAACAGCTTGTGAGCGGCAAGTAACGCCCGGCTGGAATGCTCCCCAGGGAGTGGAGGTTGTGCACACAGTGTGTGCGGGCAAGCACTGAATCCAATGACCGGGGTAATAGTATATTTGTAAAGCGCTTAGAGACATTTGTATTAAGCGCTATATAAAAATTAAATATTATTATTATTATTTTTATTTTTTTTTTAAATTATTAATTACATCACACACCTTATACAATGGCAATAAGAATCGGGTGTAGAGGACTAATTACAAATTGATATCCTATGTATATATATATATATATATATATATATATATATATATATATAACAAAACATGAATTTTGTTAAGCACGAATGTTTGGAACCAGCACCCATGACAACATGGCCAGTATGACATCACACTTTGGTACTCTATTATGATGATGGTCCATGAACTATTCTAGTCTGTTTGGCATTGTGACTTACCAGATAGCTACTTGGAGGAGGTAGCAATTACTGACATGACCAATCTCTATTTGCCTGGGATGAGAAGCGATGGTCTTGAACTCAGGATGCTCCTGGAAAATGATTGATAAGGCAAAGTGAGTGTCACCTGCAATGGAAATGACTGTTCTCCCATTACAAAAGACTACCGAAGCTGTGATGTCATACAAATCTATTTTTAGAATTTCTCAATTTGAACTTCATTTTCAAAAAGAGCATCAAAAATAATGTCCACATGTCGAAAACCAATTGAATATGTTAATTATTGGCTAGGAAATCACTGTTATTTTGCTCTGGTTCATAACATTACCAGAGCAAAACAACAGTGATTTCATATTGAAATTTGGATTGTCATAACTCAGCCAATACTTAACATATTCAATTGGTTTTCGACATGCGGACATTATTTTTAATGCTCTTTCGGAAAATGAAGTTCAAATTGAGAAATTCTAAAAAATAGTTTTTTTTGAAGACGTCACACTTGACAACTCTATATAACGACAGGTCCGCGTTGAATTTGTTTTAGATTTCTTTGCATGTTTTGGTATGACTGTATAAAGTTTTTTTTTTGAAGACGTCACACTTAACAACTCTATATATCGACAGGTCCGCGTTGAATTTGTTTTAGATTTCTTTGCATGTTTTGTTATGACTGTACAAAGTTTATCAAAAAAACTTTTACTGCAAAAGACACCTTACATGAATCTCTCACTACACTAATATCTTTTACACTGAAGAGCCTACAGCTACTTACAGACTAGAAGACTGCTGACAGGGTGGTAACAAGAATATCACAGCATACTTATCAATAATAACCATTCAACTTATTCACAATCATTCGCTCTCAAATAAACAATGGGGACTGACTGACCTCTGGATTATCTGAGCTCCTGACCTCCACAGCAAAGTGTTGGACTTGAAGGGGTGGATCAGGGCAGTCATCGTCTTCATTAGTAAACTTTTCATGATTGATTTGCATTAATTCTAGAAAGGAAAAACATTCATAAAAGGATAACTAAAAGGTAGTACAATTTACATTAGGATCACTAAATCTAGCAAGGTTAATATCAATTAATTTTTCTATGAGGACACAGAAAGCATACATATTTCATGTCCACATCTGTGGCAGGAGTATGGTGACATACACATATGCAATTGAAGGGTGTACCAAAAATGTGTTAATTACAGCCGAAACATTTATGAGTTTGACTTTCTGTTGGTCAAAGAGATTCGATGTACCTATTACATTATCATTGAGAGCAAATCAGTAACATCAAGAACTAAGGTTAGAGTTTATGGAAATGTGCATTTTACCGAAAAACAAATCATATCCTGCGGTTTAAGTAAGACCAAGACAGCTCCAAATCTTGCAGAGTAAAAATGTCTGTTCCAAAAAAACTTACCTGCTAGAAGCCTTGCTAGATCATTGAAGAAGCGATAGAAGCTGTTGATTTCCTTGAACTTGATAAGATGAAGCAATGAGATGATGATCTGTGATGTCTGCTGATGGATGGTATGACAGGCATGCTCACCCAGCAACTGAAGAAGATGACATAGGAGCCACCTGTTCAAAGCTTTAGAGATGAAAATGATAAAACAGGTGCGTAAAGCTAATGTCACTTATCATAAAAGTGAGGGTTGTGAAAAGGCACTCTGAGCAAATGCTTTTAAGTGGTACCCAGGGCCCTGTCTTACAAAAAATTGATATCAATTGCAACTTATTTGCGATTGATATCAATCGCAACTATGTACATAAGAGATAGGAGACTGCAAACTTGCAATTGATTGGAGGACTCGCGATTGATTTGGATCAATCGCAACTCTTTGTAAGACGGTTGTTGTCTTGTAACTGAGAGGTTCCTAGATCAAAAACAAGTTTGTGCACTAAAGCTCTTATGTACAGCATTCATTCTCAATTATAAGTCCCCCAAGTTCTGCACATT